CAATCAGCTCATAAAGACGTATAAAATCTTTATATAAAGAAATAAAAATTAATGCAAATATGTCTGAAAACTTCAGACACTTTTTATTTCAAATAAGTACTGTTACGCAAAATAAATATGTCTGCCTCCTAAAAGCATGGGCTGGTAATGAATAATTTCAGGATATATATACAATACAACCGAGTTACATGAAAATACAACTTGGTAATTTTTATATTACGTTTACGTTAGAGCTTCGACTATTTTCTTTAATATCAACCGCTCTATGTTTCTCCACACAAAAAAATAATACAAAATTATATCAATTTTACTTTATCTGTAAGTTTCGTTTTCTCCGTGAATACTTTGATGATTGATATCATTGCAAAGTAAAAATTGTATTATTTAACTTTGAAAGTTTATAAAATAGAGAGAAATAAAGAATCCCTCAAGAACGCTAAAAACGACAAAATTGAAAATGTTGCAGGCTCGGTTTGATTGAGTCTGTTCATGGACAGTAATGGAAAGTGCAAGTTACCGTCCACGCCCCATAGAACCGGCTTAAGCAGTATTCAACATATAACATGAACTGGTAAAATTTGGAATTTTGAAACATCCTTTGATGTGTTCATATGGCGGTTATCATGGAACCTTCAATGTGACACGTTAGTGCCATTCCATGGAAAGCGGCATATTGAATATGTGTGTCCTAAACGAGAAAACAATGGACGGAAATAAGTAAAATGGAATTTTGAAAGGGGATCAGAGGTTATGAAGCCTGCATATCACAGATAAGACGTCAAAAGACAAATTTAAAAAGCAGGCCAATATTCTAGGGGTGATTCAACAGTATTCAAGTGAGGCATACTGGAACCACCGAGGCCATATATCTGCTGCATGTAGTCTACCAAATTATTATTTGAAAAAGAATAAATTCAAAATTCCTTTATGAAAGAAATATATTTGTATATTTCCTTAAAAGCAAATTAAACATGTACGAATATGTTGCCAAAACCTACATCAAATAACCGCATGATATTTTGTTCCGGAACATTTTCTTCTGTTTACGTTCGTATCATGAGTGTCCAATAACCAAAAATTTATATACAACTTGCAAGAATCCACTATAAGTTCGGAAACATCGTAATTTTAACATTGCATGATAAATTTTAGTTTAAACAATATTTATTTCTTCATCAATATTTACAGACAAGATTACAATATATAAATTTCATTCAGGATTGAGTAGAAAGCTTGGAGCTTATATGAAACTCTCTCCTGATAAATTTTATAAAAATATTTTATTATATTTAGCTTTTTACCCTTAAAGATTAATTTTATAAACATACGATAAGTTAAGCACTATTTTGACATAGCAAAACAAATGCTTTGCAAGTGTGAGCGTAGGTGTTATTTTTCATCATTACACCAACTAAATAATCATGAAATGTATATATTAAAAGCTTGTTCACTGTTTTAACATAACAAATCCACGGTCATACATATCGGCGTTTTATTAATACGATTTTAAACATTTTACAAAGTGAAAAAGGGTATTTAACTAAACAGTACTATTTTTCAAATAATTTATGACACAGAGTTTATGAAGATGTTATTGATGAGATATATATACGACGGATGCGAAAATATTCAAGCTATCTGTTAACTTCAATAGAATATTAAAATTACCATTTGAATTATGATCCCCTAATCATACGCTTGAAATATTTTAATCATAAAGCAATTATCTTTTTATACAACTCTGGATGAATGATTGGAGAACTGCACCTAAGTCGTTTATAATCAATAAAAAAACTCAACATGATAGAAAAGATACCATTAATGCACGCGTGCCTTCAGTAAAAATATTTTTATGGTCATTTAAAAATCAATGAAAAAAAACGCTAAAGATTTGCCAAACTAAGTACAAAACCATATGCAAATTTATAAAAATATTTGATTCTTAATTTACAAATTACTAAATTCAGTTCGAATTCACCGTACATAGTTACTTTATATTAGAATAAACAAAAAACGTTGTTCTTACATAATTAAAATGACATGGAAAATAAAGAATTTTAAAAAGTTATTGAGCGTTTTTTAATTGTGGAAATGTTAACTTTACCTTTTTAAGTGAGCTCATGGGATTCTATCTCAAAACATAATTTTCGTTTCATCGAAATTGAATTAGACTCATAAAATGAGGATTGTTATATCTTAAGCTAAGTTTTATTAACAGTACATCTCATTATATAGTGACAGTGACACAATTTACATTTAACATGCTAATGTAATTGATCGATTTGTACTTCAAATAACTTTCGTTTGTCAACCGCATTTATTGAGCACAGGGGAAATTATTTTTAACTTAATAAACGCTGATTGCACTTTTTTCTTAAAAGTGGTAAATCGATGTGTAGACCAAATGAATACGTTAACGAGAAACAAATGTAAAACTGTACAAAAAGAAGTCTTCATCACTAGAATCCTTTTTCTTTCCTTTACAGCGAATTCGCTTTGTTAACTGTCATTTAAAATCTTGTTTTTTTTCAGCGGTTAAATTCTTCTCATTCATACACTGTTTCAAGTATAATACAAGAAACATGCAATATTGATACCCGTTAGATTGATATATATTTTGTAACCTGACTCCATTAATAAAAACTATGTTTTGTTCTGTTTAAAATAGAATGGAATTTACAGGGACACGTCTTATGATTTATAATTTCAAAGTAACACACCGTACAATCAAATTGGCAGACAGCAGTTCAAGCGTCGACAGCTGTACCAGTATATACATGTCGGCGCACGAAACACAATTGACGGACAGTCAGTATTCATCTATATTAAACATATCCCAACTGTGTTCAAGTAAATCAATGTTATGGATTTATAGTCAACATCCAAAGGAGCATGCTAACAAATTTCTGGCCCTGTGCAAGCTTTACTTCACGTGAATTTTGACTGAAAATAACCACACTATCCGATGAGATGCGGCATTTTTATTTTTAAGTCACAAAAACCTATATTTTCTCCTGATAATAAATTCTTTTATCATACAATTCGTAAACGTCACCATTTCGTCATTAAATATTCCAAACCATACCTTCAAAAATGCTTTTCTGTTAAAGTTATAGGGTATTTAAGTTTGAGTGTCATCAAAATTTTAGTAACGTCATCAGCCGTTCGCCTCTTTTTAATGATAACATCGACAGCCATTCATCGGCAAGAATAAATAACGCTGAAAGCCGTTCAAGGAAACATTTTTCAATGGATAAATGGATAATGGTGTCTCAGCTAAGATACAACAAATAATAGCCCGTCAAGAGAACTCAGGAACTAACTAACTAACTAACTAACTAACTAACTAACTAACTAACTAACTAACTAACTAACTAACTAACTAACTAACTAACTAACTAACTAACTAACTAACTAACTTACTAACTAACTAACAAACTAACTAGCTAACTAACTAATGAACTTACTTACTAATTAACTTACTTACTAACTAACTAACTAACCTACTAACTAAGTAACTAACTAAACTAACTAACTAACTACCTAACTAACATATTTTTTTACACAAAAGTGTTAGATTTCATTTCTCAAATGGGATTGTAGATACATAACATATGCCATCTCGTTGATTGTTAACCTTTGAAAAGTCCGAATGTCTTGATAAAGAAATATTTATCAAGATGCGTTAATGTTTCGCCAAGCTTTAATCAATTTCGCTAAAACATTTACACTGTATCCTTTGAGAACACCAGTCTCTGAAATATTAGCAATTTATGTTTAAGTTTCTTTCTTCCCAGTGTCGTCTGTTGCATTCAAAATGATTTACAATCACTAGCTTTATCAGAAGAAATAAACAATTATAAACAACATGAGTTGTACTCTTCAAATCTCAAATGTAAAAAAATATATTTTTTATTACATACACATCCTGTGTTGTCATCATTTAAGAAATTACTCTTTGTAATGAAAACGAACACATTTCAAAACTCTCTAGATTCCCATACCTGTCTGTAGAATAAGAAAACAACTAAATAAACAGAATCATACGAAAATCATCGTGAAAGTACCGCACACCTCTTTATTATAATAAAAGTAATAGCAAATAGGTTACTATTATTACTCGTAGTATCAAGTGTATAATATTAAGTGATTATCAGGCCTGAAGCAAAAAGTTAGAAATTATTTCTTATCTTCAATTATTCAATTTAAATCGTCATCTTTGAGTTTATTACATTATCAAAGACTCCCCTTCTTTGAAAGATAGTTAAATAGATATTGCATGTATTTAAATTCAGTTGGCCCGTCAAAGTTTATTGCACTGGTGGGACAAATATTCATATTTAAATATCTTTTTATGGTTATGTTTTTCTTAAATATTGTTCTGAATTGAAATGAATATCGCCACGCATTTTCAATTGCACGAAAGCATGTTTGTGTTTGTTTGGTTTTTTATTACTGATGTCAAATTCCTAAGTCGTACCAGTTGACTACTTCATGCGTGTCTTATCTCCAGTTATCTCAGCAGCATAGACAGGAGGAAGTCAATAGAGAATCATAGCTACGTACGGTAATGTGGAAACCAACACAAATAACAGACAGTAAACACGAAATTTAGTTCGCACTTTATGTCCACCAAAATTTATAATATTGATAGATAGATGAACTTTATTCATACAAAGGCAATATGCCCATCAGTCTACAGTAATAATACAATCAGCAGATAAATAACATCAATGGCATGATATAGCATGGTATACATAAAATAGGTCTATTAAAAAGTCAATTCTTATTCATCATAACAAATCTAGTGTATAATATATATGATTGTATAATATTTTATTCTAGACTATATAGTTTAATAGCACTGTAGTGGTGAAGTAAGCAATAAACAACAGCAGCTTTTCATAATATTTTATCATAGACGTCATTGTTAACACCGACGTTGAAAAAACAATAAAACAATAATTTTAACTAATGTCATTTAACATATAACATATTACATGAGGCGCAAGTAAACAAAACGCATGTCATCTTCTGAAGGTTCACACACTGGACGAAACTGAAATACAGATAAATATAAGCTGAGGTATAAATTTATAACTTAAAATTTGAGGGCACCAGTTCTTATGCTTGAAATCCATAAATCAATGGATGAGGGTGGGGGCACAGAAAAGATTATTAATGTACTACATGTACATATATAAAGAAGGGCAATAATTCTACTAAATTAATCACAGAACTATGCTCCAAGGCACTTGATGACAAAAGTTCTGTGGGAATTTAACAAACTTCCTTAAGAACTGTCAGAATTTCACACAGAGTGTCATCTATATATTACATAGGTGAGAAAAACGACAACAAAATAAAACAGTGTCATACATGCAATTTTGACTAAAATAAAGGTTGTAAAAACGAGGACAATATTCTCCATGGTTAATGATGTCAAAAGTTTTCTGAAAGATTGAGTGCAAATCTATTTAACCAACTTGTTTGCAGAAAACCAGTACAAAAAAGAAGAACTTGTGTATATAGTCTTGAAATGGTTAAAGGAACAAACCTTCCATCTTTTTGCTGTAAATTCCGCAGTGCCAGCAGTATGACCTCTCTGTTGACCTTTGATAAATCATCACCAAGTATCAATAATGATGCTAGAGCTGTATATGTCATAGCTATATGAGCACCATCATACGGAATTCCTTTCTCTTTATTCTGAAATATGTCATAATTAACCAATTCTAATACAAGCAAGCTTAGTAAACCAATTATGCTCTTTTTTTATAAACAATGTCACTTTTATAAATAATTTGCTTTATTCTAAAACAAGCTCATTCTAAAAACTAAATTCATGCACAATATAGCTGCCGCAATGAGTGTTACCTTAGACAATTAATTCATGATTAAAGGACACTGATATATAAATGGTGTCACAGGCAACTTACAAAATATTTTATTGCAAAACTAAATAACTTCTATGTAAGAATTTTAATAAAGTTATAAAAATGCAAAAGATCTGACCTTTTTAGAATCATAGGGATTTCCCATACTTGAACAGCCTCTAAAACCACAGTGATTAATGTTGGATTCTGAAATAGTAACATGTTTACTTTATCTCTCATTCTCTTAATTAAAGGTTGTGTCATTTAAATGTAGGTAAACTCAGCACAGAAAAACACTAAACATGTAGTTGCCCTATATTGTTTGTAAAGGCTTAAAACTCTATGTTTTTATCAAATTATAATAATTGATTTGGGTCACTTTATTCATATAACAAGAGCCACCACAAGGGAGACAAGGGAAAGAACATTATGGTGAAGGGCCAAGTTCACATTAAAATTATATAACATGGTAGTTTTTGTTATAAATGTTGTTTTTATCAAAGTATGAATCAAATCTGCGAATTAATAACAAATGTATAAAAATGTGTCTAAATATGAAAGCATTCTCTTAAAAATACAAAGGTTATGATCAATGTTTAAAGTTTTTGGAAAACAACACTAACGACTGTAATATTATTTCAATTTTTTTTTCAAAAAAAAATTAAAACAAACTCTATGTTACCATCATTATTAGGTAGGACTTGTAATGAATATATCCAGTCTATAATATCATTCTTCTCCTTCTCCAGTACATCTAATGCATTGAGCATATCTAGTCCAGATATTGCAAAAAATGCTATTGTCATCCTGAAAAAATATCAAACTATATCATTTCTCTACATCTTTTCTCTACATCATTTATCTACACCTTTTCTCTACATCATTTCTCTACATCTTTTCTCTACATCTCTTCCATACATCTTTTTCTTTTCTCTACATCTTTTCTCTACATCTCTTCTCTACATCTTTTTCTTTTCTCTACATCTTTTCTCTAAATCTCTTCTTTGTATCTTTTCTCTGTATCACATATGTTTTACTTCTACCAATTAACAGAATGTAATAAAATCTTTAATTTATAAGGAGACTTGAGTAAAATAAAAGTATGAAGTTTGACTTAGTGAAATAGAAAGCTCAAAGAGAAAGGTTATGTTCTTTTGGTTGGGTTTAAAGTTGCACCAACACAGAAAAGGTACTATAGCAACTTTACAGCTTTACTGGTGGTGGAAGACCTTGAAAAAATAAACAGCATTATCTACCACATTCAGTAAAATAATATATCAGTTGTTTTCAAATTAATTTCCTTGTAAATTCTGTACTTAACTCTCAATATAAGTAAAAGGCAATAATGAAATCAGTATCACTAGTTTACGAACATTTTCACAAAATATAAATGGATGCAGGCGGATTATTTTTATGTTTGCCAGTTGTTAATTACAGTCAAGAAGCCACAGGGGGTTAAAATTTTATATTTTAATTGATCAAAATTATTGTCGATAATTGTTAGTTGGAAGGGGTACATAGAATCACCAATCAAAGGATTAGTGTCACCATTTACTGTATACATATATATATGTCGATTTTATTCTGATGAAAAGCATTTTTTATTCAGCTTTAACTACTTGTGTATATAGTTTGACATAGATTATAAAAATAAACTTGTGTGAAATGTAATTTGTGTAAATGTTGACTCTTTAGGTTTTTTTCAGGTTGTACTGTTATACGTATATATATTTCTATGATGTTGTTTGTTCACTGAGATCTTTTGTATTGTGTTATGCTTTTATGTAAATATCATTATTATGCTAAAGAAAAGAATAAATAATAGGTTTAAATTTCCAATATCTTGTCTTTAATTGCATGAAAATGTGTGATAAATCACACATTTAGACCCGCGATAATTGACGTGCCCATTATACAATAGCTATTGTTCACTATATAAAATAAATTCGCCGAAACCACTACCTGTTTTATTATACGGGGAAGTCAATGTCCGGGCTCGCGAAGCGGGCCCGGCCTTAGCTTGCCCGGCTATGGACTACACGTGTATATTTAAAAGAAAATCAAATGAAAAACAAATAAAAAATATATAGAATTCTATACCTATCAATTAAATTTTCAGTGTCAGTTCTAGTTAGGCGCAGCCATTTACAATGTAACTCAATGATAAAAGACGGGAGTATTCCGATAACGGAACAAATCTCATCTTTTCGGATAAATAATAAACGCCGAGTGTTCCGAGTGAAAACGGAAGCGGTGCATGTAATACCGAATGACACCTTTAAAACGGAAAGAATGAAAGGAATTTTTAACGACTTCCCCGTTTATAGGCTTTGCCTAATTTCATATTATATTATAAGATCAGTTCGACGAACTGGTAGTTCGACAAAACCACTCCCACCCCATCTATGAAATATCAGGTTATAAAATCGGTCTGTCTTGCAGTCGAAATATTGAGACTAGGCTTGCCCAAGCTTAGGCTTTTGTTCTTTAAGACTGTGAAGGTCAATTTGGCTATACCTTCTTTCAAGTTCTTTGATCTGATTTACTTGTGTCATAATTGTGAAATTTTCCAAGTCCTATCTAAAACTTAGTCGTTATATACAAAAAAATATTATTTAGTTTTTTCTAGCGACATAATTTCATTTACCTGCTAGTATCTAAAGAAGAATATCGCCCAGGCAAAACCTGTAGACATCTCTGGAAGAATTTTATATGTTTTTGCCTGAGAAATTTGTCATAACTACGGTCATAACTGGGCGCAGCCATTTTTGGTGTTTTGTAAAATAAATGTGTTGTGACCTTTACTCGATACACTTTTTACGACAATTTTGTTTACAGTGTCGGTAAGTCGATCCCACTTACGTTAAGTAATATTTGTTGTGGTGAAATAGTCGTGGAAAAAATGGATATTTTTTTGTAAAATCTACGAATAGTCGCACAAAAAATGAGTGAAAAATGATCAGTTTTATGTTTTTTCTTCAATAAATTCAATTTATTGTCAAATGACATATTAAATGTAAGTGGAATTTGGTTTTCAGTACAAATTATTTGGGCAACTCAACTGGTACAATATTTATACTCAACATCACTAATTCCGCGTCATCACTTACCTCGCGGTAATGGCATATTTTCATGTGGCCAGTGTTAAAATTGGTCAGAATTGACATATTTTATTCAAACACCTTAACAACAAAGTTTTTGTGCAAAATAATTTAAATCTATAGATTTTTACGTAAAACTGAGCAACATTTTACAAACTTCTGCAAAAAACAACAATAGTCCATTAAATTTGTGCATACGTCTGAAACAATCATCATTTTCTAAATGTTCTTGTTTGTTAAAAAAATAAATTTTGAGTTACAATGTAAAGATTATTTTAATATTTAAAATTATGCAAAATAACATAAAGAAATTATAACTGAAACTTGAAAAAACTGAAATAAAACACCTTTACCGCGAGTTAAATGATGACATACTATTTTCAAAATAGCCGACACACGGTCTACATCTGACAAATTAAAACTAATTAAGATTGAATATATTGTTGTTTCCTTGTGTCATATAGCAGAAAAATGACTAAATGATACAGTTTATGACAATTTTTGTAGTGTGAGTTTATTGTTTGTGTTCTTTACTGTTTTAAAGTGTTAAGTACCGTGACCTAAGAGGAGCACAGTATATATTGAAACTTAAAAAAGTTAAAGGAAGTGGCTAGCCGCACGGGCCCGTACGGCTAGCCAAAAGTTCTAGCCATACGTGAGTCACGTACGACTAGCAAGGACACACTGTATCGGCTAGCCATACAGCATTTTCAAAATTAGATGGAAGTCGAAAATGCATATGTTATTTTATGACTTTAAGCGAGGATTTTAACCTGGAAACAGCAATTGTCTTCGTATGTTTACTTTTTAGAGATTAATCGCCTTGTTGGCTACAGTAAAAAAAGTACAAATATCGATCTTTGTCATCTCAAGACGTTTAGAAAAAATAGCGTTTGGTCGCAGTTAAATATAACATCAATTGAAAAAGTTTACAAAATGTTAATGATAATCGGTTTTTGTTTCATTAAGTTTAATTTTCGACACCTTTAAAATGAAAAATTGTGGTTTGGCTCTGATAATTGCGTCAATTACCGACAGTATAGAGGTTTGTCCATCATTAAGGAAATTTTGCATGTTCCGTGAAACGCATTTTGAAATTCTATTGTCAGTCCCTGGGTAGGCTTTAGTTAAGGCTTATTTCTTGATTGTGCTTTTATGTTCGATATTTATCTACTGTATTTGAAAATTATAATAATTTTTGCTTTTCAAAGTTTTTTTTTTCAATGTTCTTTTTATTTATTCCACTCCGATTATTTATTCGATCCATGTGCTTAATGAACAAAAATTCACCTTTCATACAAATAAAACTACAAATCATAATCATGAGGCACAAAATAACAGATGCATGTTCGACATTCATGTAAGTTTGAAAAGTGACGTACAACTAGACAATACAGTGAGTCCTGGCTAGTCGTACGTGACTCACATACGGCTAGAACATCTGCCTAGCCCTACGGGCCCGTACAGCTAGCCACTTCCAAAGTTAAAAGGTCAAATTTCTGCTTCAACTATTGATTTTTATTGTCTGGATGACACTGTCACACTAGGGTTAAAAATCGCACAAATGTGATTAAATGGGAGTTAAACCTACAGGAGGCTGATGCTCTACCTTGACATCACATAAGCCATAAACCAACATGCTATTTCTTTATAACTTTGTAAATTCTCAAATCCTGTATACACGTAGTTTTGGGAATCGAAATGCTTAAATACTGTATTACATTGTGATTGCTGTCATTATGTGTAGCATTGGGAATGCTCTTCTCCTGTGTGACCTTTGATATGCTCTTGTCCTGTATAGCTTTGTGAATATTCTAGTTATGAATAGCTTTAGGAATGCTCTAGTCCTGTTTAACATTTGAAATGCTCTAGTTCTGTATAACTTTGGAAATGCTTAAGTTACAATGTATGTATAACTTATTGAATGCTGTAGTCTTGATTAATTTTGGTAATGCTCTGATCCTGTACAGCTTTGGGAGTTCTCTAGCGCTACAGTGTTTCAGGAATGCACTGGTTTTTATATATTTACAGGTTGAAACTCTACTGATTATAAAAAGACAGCAAGATGAGCAAAAGATCTAAGTTGTCTAAGACGAAGAAGGAGACTTCAGAGGATATGGCAAAATATAATGCAAAGTCAAAGAAATCCTCTTTAAAGCACAATAGTGTTTTACCTGTAGTGCAAAGTCAGGCCATGGCACTTGATTCTGGGGTGTTACCTGTAGTGCAAAGTCAGGCCATGGCACTTGATTCTGGGGTGTTACCTGTAGTGCAAAGTCAGGCCATGGCACTTGATTCTGGGGTGTTACCTGTAGTGCTAAGTCAGGCCATGGCACTTGATTCTGGGGTGTTACCTGTGGTGCAAAGTCAGGCCATGGCGCTTGATTCTGGGGTGTTACCTGTAGTCGAAAGTCAAGCTGAAGAATTACTAGATTCTGCAGGTTTCTCTGTCATGAGTCAGGCACATGATCTAGATTCTGACAATCCAATAGGATATGGAGCTAGGTAAATTAAAATATTTGTTTACAACTTATTTTTACTTTATTTAACTCTTTGTAGAACATTTGGGTACTCAGATGAGGTATATATTATTAGGTTGTACTATCGTATGTTCCAGGTTGTGACTGTCTTGTTGCCAGTTATTGCATTATACAGCATCTCCTAAACCACCAAACCTGTTGTATTTATATCATAAAGATAGCAGTGGATAGCACTTTGCAAAAATAGAAAAATCATACCAGATGACTGAACAAGTATATTATTGTTGAACTGTTTCAGAAATTGATGTTAATGCAGGATTATGTCATTAATGCTAAATTGTTACATCAGTTTCATCTAAATTTTCCTTATTAGTATGAATAAATGACACTGTGTAGTGATTTGACGGAAATTGTGAGATTTTGATAAAAAAAATACAGCAGGAAGGTAAATATAGATACATGAGTGACAATAGAATCTGATAAATGCATTCTAATCCTCACTGTTTTTTACATATGTGATATAAAAAGATAAAATACCAAATTATTTATTCTCCTGCAATGGCAGTATTGAATAATGCAAGATAATTATTTTGTCTTACATAAAAATCACCATATACTATTATGCACAGTATTTAAAGATTTTCCTTCTTTGTGAAAAGATCAAAGAAAAAGATGCCGCCGCCACCACCACAACCACCTCCACCACAACCACCACCACCTAAGTCACAACAGATGTCAGCTCCTGTACCACCACCTGTACCACCAGTGTCTAATCAGCTAAAGACCACAGCTTCCATACCACCAACACCAAAGATAACTGCCAGTGCTTTAGAACTGGAGAGGAAGAAATTAAAGAAGCCAGATGAAATAAAGAAACAAGGTGAGAATTTATCAATCAAGTAATTTTTCCCTCAGTGTTTCTCGTAATACTAAGATTATACATTGTATAAAAGCATCTTTCTATTTGATGATTTTAAAAATCTCATTTTGAAACAAATTTTGATAAAACAACAAACAACTTTCTCAATGTTATGTCATCATTAGATTTTATTTATTATAAAATATTCATGTAAAATATATTCATGTAGTTTTAGTTGATGTTATATGCATTATCATTTTTCTGTTCTAGTCAACCTGGAGCGGTCAGATTTTTTTGACATTCACCAGACTTACACACATATTCCATTATTGGAAGCAAGGGTAAGTTTTAAATATGCAATACATAGTTATGTTTTCTTCTTTTAAGCATGTGTTAATTTGGTTTTAAACAGTACAAAATAATTATACAGTCAGGACTCATTACAACGACACTGTTGGTTCCCAAAAATATGTCAGTATATCGAATTTGTCAGTTTATTGAATTTCATCATTCATCATGTAATGATATGCTTATTCACTGGTATTTGAACATTATGTATTTATATCTATAATAAACATCTATAATGAAAAACATTTTGTGTGTATGTGTTCACTTTATTATACACATTACATATCATACACATAATACATCATAATAACTTTATTAAAATAATAACAACTAAAATGGTTTTAAAGTGCGCATCGGTTGAATGTTAAACTAACGCTCACTTCTGAAGTAGCGTGAGTGCATTCAGTAAGCTGCGAAGGGAGCGTAAAGATTGACATGAAAATAATAAAACTTTATAATATAAAAAACACATACAATGATAGAACTTCCTTTATATGAATTGATTTCGTTTTTTGTTCAAAAGTTAAATTAGTCCGTTGACGTTTAGTTGAAGGTTCTGCAATTATTTTAATTAAAAAAGTCACAAGTTGGCAAGTGTAACAAAATTCAGCTGACAACAACACTTTGGTATTGTAATAAGGTATAACAATCAACTGACCAAGCTACAATACCTCTTTTAACACCTTGCTGCTTTTGTTCACGGCTCTATGACATGCGCGCTTGACTGACCAAGTGTCAGTTAAACGGGTACTGATTGTATAGAAAATAACACGTTTGGTTTCCCATTGTATTGTGTCGGAGTCGGAATACAAATTTTCCGTTATAAAGGATTATAATAATGTTGAAAAAATTTGGTTCCCACCAATTTACTGTCGTTATTTGAATTTGTCAGATGTATTGAGTCCTGACTGTATCTTGGTTAAAAAATTAAAGCAGTAGATAATATAATTTTATAATAAAAGTATGGTACATGTATTATGCTAAAAAATTGATTCATAAATAATGTGTGTATGTATTTGTGTATTCCAGTGCATGTGTGTGTACTTGTGTATACAAGTGTGTGTACTAATGTGTGTTTGTGTGCCTTTGTGTACATGTATGTTAATGTGTTTGACTAGACGTGTATATGCCACTGTGTGTTTACTTGTGTATGTGATAATTGTCATTGTGTTTGTGTGTACTTTGGTATGCCACTGTGTTTTTGTGTTTGCCACTGTGTTTTTGTGTATGCCACTGTGTTTTTGTGTATGCCACTGTGTTTGTATGTTGTTGTGTATGCCAATGTGTACATGTGTATGCTAGTGTGTTTGTGTACTTGTGTACACCATAGTGTTTATTAACTTGTGTATACCAGTGTTTTTATGTGTATTTATATTATTGTGATGTAAGTATTATAATGCTGCCAGTGTAGGATAAAAGTCCCAATATCCCTGAACTGTCTTCATCGGTTCTACTTTTTCACCATCAAGGGGCTATGAGTCTTTCTCCCAGCTTTCACTGGGTTTTTGGATGTTATCTCCAAAACATCAGATAAGGGGCTTTGATTGATGGGCATTTGCACCTAGAATATTAGTTGCATATAAGTTAACATTGTCAGTGTTACATCCTTTAATTGTTGTTCTTTCTTCTATTTACTTAAGCATCATAGAATGATTGTAAAGGATGTTATATATCAACACTTTACCAAACTTTGTAGCTATCTTTTTTCTCTTTTCTGAGGTAAATTTCTAGCATCATATTGTAAACATAAGTAAAGTTAGCTGTCAACTCTAATAGCCCTATGTTTATATCTTTCAGGAGTCTCTTAGAATGTCAACTCTAAAGACAGAGGTTATTTCAATAAGCTTTGATGGGATTGAACAAATGTCAGATGGGTTCCTATTTAGTTTATTTCATTGTAAACTTAACCTGAGTACAGTGAAATGGATCTCCTTAACAGGTAACTCATTTGTTGCGCAAGAAAATATATTTTATGTTCTAACAAGGATGATAATTGTGTATTAGAGCTGACAAATCTAAGATAAAATATGTTGCTTCTGCCAAATATTTAGAAAAAATGCTAAATAAATGCAAAATATAGAGAAACAGTGTGTAGTTACTGTAGTAACTGGCCATTATTGAGAAACAATGGGTAGTAATTGCTAGAAATACTGATTTAGCAATTTGTAATAATTGGCTATAAATGAGAAACACTTTTAAATAAATGGCATTTTAATTGTGAACAAATGTGATTTGATTTGTATAAAGGTAAGTTGACAGTAAAAAGGCTTAGAAATTAGTTAATACATAGGTGGTTAGAAAAGCATACAAATAAATCAGATAATTTAAGCACATTTGAAGTCAAATTCATTCCATTAAAAGCTTAAGTCATACCATACCTGATATTTGCAGGAGCTATTGTTTCATTTTGTTGTCTTAGTTTTTGTGATATCTGTCTCACTTATGTTGAAAGAAGAAAGAAAAACAGTAATCTAAATATATATATTTGTATATTGTAGGATGTTATAACATGACAGCAGTAATCTAAATATATATATTTGTATTTTGTAGGATGTTATAACGTGACAGCAGTAATCTAAATATATATATTTGTATATTGTAGGATGTTATAACATGACAGCAGTAATCTAAATATATATATTTGTATATTGTAGGATGTTATAACGTGACAGCAGTAATCTAAATATATATATTTGTATATTGTAGGATGTTATAACGTGACAGCAGTAATCTAAATATATATATTTGTATATTGTAGGATGTTATAACGTGACAGCAGTAATCTAAATATATATATTTGTATATTGTAGGATGTTATAACGTGACAGCAGTAATCTAAATATATATATTTGTATATTGTAGGATGTTATAACGTGACAACAGTAATCTAAATATATATATTTGTATATTGTAGGATGTTATAACGTGACAGCAGTAATCTTAATATATATATTTGTATATTGTAGGATGTTATAACGTGACAGATGAAGGTGTTTACTGGATTTCTCAAACTTTCACAAACATTAAATCAGTAAGTGGTTTTTTATATGCATTCCTGAACCTTACATCCATAAGTAAACTAAAATCTGATTTTGATTGTGTTTGCTTTTTCAAACATTTCACAATAAAGTTTTTCTTTTGTTTTACTAAACCTGATATATCTATAAATTGTTGCAATTAACTTGCTTTCATAAGCCTTAAAGATGAAGTCTTGAACCTCAAATCTGAAAACTACAAGTTTTATCTGTTAACATGGTTTCCTATACCTCAAATTTGAAACCTGTTTTTGTTTTGAAAGCTTAAAATCTCTATATTTTTTTTGCTTTCTGCAACAAATGGGCTTTTGTTTGTTATCGCTTTCCAAAACTTCAAACTGACCAGGCTTTGTTTGTTGTAGCAATCTCAAAATACAATATCGGAAGTTTTCATTAGCTTTCCCTCACCTCTAATACATGAGGTTTCATTTGCCGTTTCTGTCCCAAATTTCAATAATTTAGTTTTCTCGTGCTTTCTTGAACTGGCCATGAGTTTTTGTTTGCTTTCTCAGGTTTGTATTATGATGTTTTGTATGATGTTGCTTTCCCAAACCTTAGTATTAGAAGTTTTCTCTTGCTTTATCAAACCTCACACTCCCAATGAGTGTGCTCTGCATACAACACCCTATGTCAAATGTCAGCCTCGTCATTCATATCATTTTATTTAAGAAATGTTCAGTTTACTATCCAGCTAGTGATGCTGCTCCTCAGACAGTTTATGTTTTCATTATTTTCCAGTGAAACTATGTACAATCATTGAAATGTTAATATTTTTCATTAACAATGCCCAGAACCACAGATAATCTGGTTATATACAATATGGTATCTACTGGTGACATATTTAAGGTACAAATATCAAAACACCATGATAAATATGAACATATGATAAATATAAATATATGATAAATATGAAAATATGATAAATATAAATATATGATAAACATGAAAATATGATAAATATAAATATATGATAAACATGAAAATATGATAAATATATGATAAATATGAACATATGATAAATATAAATATATGATAAATATGAACATATGATAAATATGAATATCTGATAAATATGAAAATATGATAAATATAAATATATGATAAATATGAAAATATGATAAATATAAATATATGATAAACATGAAAATATGATAAATATATGATAAATATGAACATATGATAAATATAAATATATGATAAATATGAAATATGATAAATATAAATATATGATAAATATGAACATATGATAAATATAAATATATGATAAATATGAAAATATGATAAATATAAATATATGATAAACATGAAAATATGATAAATATGAACATATGATAAATATAAATATATGATAAATATGAAATATGATAAATATAAATATATGATAAATATGAACATATGATAAATATAAATATATGATAAATATGAAAATATGATAAATATAGATATATGATAAATATGATAAATATAAATATATGATAAATATGAACATATGATGAATATAAATATATGATATGAACATATGATAAATATAAATATATGATAGATATGAACGTATGATGGATATAAATATATGATAAATATGAACATATACTGTGTTTTCAGATTCAGTTATCAGGATGTAACAAGATAACCGAGAAATCTATAAATTATTTGAAGAAACTATCAATGCAGGAAATTATCCTTGATGGTACAAACTGTGGGGTATTACCACTTGATGTAAACCTTGGACAAAACTTTCAGGCTAAACCTCATGCTCCAAGTATGTTAATACAGTCAAATTTGATATATATAATGTTTATTATTGTAACACAATGTAGCTTTGTGTATATATTATAGTATATTTATAATTTCATAAATAAAAGGATGTTATGCATCTTTTACACTACATAATTTGATAGCTGTATATTAAAAGAAATTCTATGTGATATTAGCTCTTTATATAGAAAGGAATGCCTTTGTTTTATTTAATTACAATTTGTTGATGTCGTTTTATATAAACTGAACTTTCCATATGTTTGTTATTATATATTTTCAGGTGTAACTTTCAATGGCTGTCCTATGATGTCTCCAATGTTATCTGAAGTAAACAAGGAATCAGGCTACAAATCCTGGTCACCCGGCAACTTTCCAGGTAACTTTATACAACATTAGGAAAAAAACAGCTAGACATCAGTTTAGAAAAAAACATGATATCAAAGCAAACTGGTGACCATATAGTGTTATAATTTATTTCCATTTTTATCTATATTTTACTAATCTTATAACTGTATTCCTAGAAATTATTTTGTCCTTTTTATGTAAGTGCTTTTTATGGTAGGGACATTTCCGCGAATATGTATAGCTGCGAATATGTTATTGTTTGGTAAAAGTACTATAGCAAATAATAAATATATTGATAAACAAATATCAATTAAATCTTAAAAAACAAATCACTACTGTACATTTGAAAAACCTTTTTCTCACCCATAAATGTTTATCATAAGAAGTCTTAATACTGTATTTTATCTCAGAATTTCATTTTACTTTAGGAGATACTTATTTTATTTTGATGTGCATAAATCTGAATATCAAATGCAATTTTTTGAATATTTAATGTATTAAGTAAGAGACAATTATATTTTAATTACCCCTAATTACATTTTTGTAGTGTTCTCATTTTCAATAGTATTACTACTTATTTTCACAAAACATTCAGTAAGAATATTGTTTATTGCAGCAACTCTAAGAAAATTGGTGATATTAACTCCAGAAAACCTACCATGGAATCCTCTAGCTATACTGACCAATGGTCAAGATATCACTGCAAAGTCTGGCCTGTTGTATAAACATAACTGGACACCTTTCAAGGACAACAAGATCAAAGATGTCAAGTCATCAGCTGAAATATTTAATGTGTTTCAGATTACAAGAGGAAAGGTAAGTACTTTACATCTAGTACTTCCCATGGTGTACTCTCCATTGAGTACTTCATTTCAGTACTGCACATGGAGTACTTTACATTGAGTACTTCCCTTCGAGTACTTCACATGGAGTACTACACATCAAGGTTTTTCCATTGAGTACTTCCCATTTAGTACTTCACATGGAGTAGTTCCCATTGAGTATTTCATATTGAGTACTTCCCTTTGAGTACTTCACATGGAGTACTTCACATCAAGTTCTTCCCATTGAGTACTTCACATGGAATATTTCCCATGGAGTATTTCACATGAAGTACTTCACATTGTTTACTCCATAAATATAAATACAAACATTCTGCAATGTATGTGATTATATTGTTTTGCTTGTAAACTTGTGATTGTAAACTTCTGCTTGCAAACTTGTGATTGTAAACTTCTGCTTGCAAACACTTGTCTGTGACTACAAAGCCCTGCTTACAAACACAAATGAAGACATTATTCTTAAGAATATGGTGCCAAAGATAGAAATAGTCCTAACAATGTCCTGACCTTACACAAGAGTATATAATAGTCCTTTAAATGTCCTGACCTTAAATAAGAGTATATAATAGTCCTAAAAATGTCCTGACCTTAAACAAGAGTATATAAGAGTCCTAATAATGTCCTGACCTTAAACAAGAGTATATAATAGTCATTAAAATGCCTTGACCTTAAACAAGAATATATATTAGTCCTAAAAATGCCCTGACCTTACACAAGAGTATATAATAGTCCTAAAAATGCCCTGACCTTACACAAGAGTATATAATAGTCTTAGAATGTCCTGACCTTAAAAAGAGTATATAAGAGTCCTAAAATTGTCCTGACCTTAAAAAGGAGTATCTAAGAGTCCTAAAAATGTCCTGACCTTAAACAAGACTATATAATAGTCCTTAAAATGTCCTGACCTTAAACAAGAGTATAATTATATTAGTCCTAAAATGCCCTGACCTTACAGAAGAGTATATAATAGTCCTAAAAAGGCCCTGACCTTAAACAAGAATATATATTAGCCCTTACAATGTCCTGACTTTCATCAAAAGAATATAATAGTTCTTACATTGTATTAACATTAAACAAGAACATGATGGAATAGTAACACATAGGTATCAGATGAGACTCTAAGGTTATTTGATATGAGCGTGATAATATTTAGTAATGTATTTTTGATTATTTTCAGGGTTTGACAGAGTTGATCATGTCTCCAGGTAGCATTGTTATACTACCCTACTATCTACACAAAGATATGCCGAAAGCCCCAGCTGCTGAACTGGCATATACCATAATATCAATCTTGTCTAAGGTCAGTTTCTTATAATTACGCTGAATATGAAAATATATAGTATTATATAAATATGAATTTTTTATACTTGCAAATTAAATAAATATGTAAATTTATGAGTTTAGTTACATTCTTTATTTTATCATTATAAAATGACTGTAGTTTTGTTTGTGTACTTGTCACAGTATGATGACTGTAGTTTTGTTTGTGTACTTGTCACAGTATGATGACTGTAGTTTTGTTTGTGTACTTGTCACAGTATGATGACTGTAGTTTTGTTTGTGTACTTGTCACAGTATGATGACTGCAGTTTTTGTTTGTGTACTTGTCACAGTATGATGACTGCAGTTTTGTTTTGTGTACTTGTCACAGTATGATGACTGCAGTTTTGTTTGTGTACTTGTCACAGTATGATGACTGCAGTTATGTTTGTGTACTTGTCACAGTATGATGACTGCAGTTTTGTTTGTGTACTTGTCACAGTATGATGACTGCAGTTTTGTTTTGTGTACTTGTCACAGTATGATGACTGTAGTTTTGTTTGTGTACTTGTCACAGTATGATGACTGCAGTTTTGTTTGTGTTCTTGTCACAGTATGATGACTGCAGTTTTGTTTTGTGTACTTGTCACAGTATGATGACTGCAGTTTTGTTTTGTGGGGGATGAGTGATAGTAAAGACACTATTGACTATGAGCAGACAGTAAAGAAAATGCTGGAGAATGTAAACAAGTATTTTAACAAGTGGATTGACAGACTTGATGGGTCTATACGTACAGCTATCCAGTATGTATCTTATATATTCATATACTGCTGTATCTTGAATTCTGCCATATTTTATCAATATTGTGTATATTTACACTTTGAATAATATTCTTTAACTGATAAATCTGTCAGCAATATATATATATATATATATACATGTAGGTAAATACATGTAGGTAAATAATTTAAGCAGTAAGTACATTGACAAACTTTATTGCACTTCTTCAAGCCAAACAAACATTGACATAAACTCCTCACACATTTTACTGACTATTTGTTATCCTCTTTCAGGCATAAATCTTGTAACAGACCTAGAGTTAGGGTTATTATGATTTTATATGAATAATTTTCAGTACAAACTGGAGAATGGCAGCATTTAACTATCTTGAGCAAGATTCCCTGTCACAGGGTGAGAAGATGCTGCGACACATGAGGTCATTGTTAAATCTTACAACCAGTTCTTTTGTAAGTTTATTTCTTATCTTGTCAGTGTTTCACACTTATTATATTCTCTCTTACTTTGGTGTGTTGTGTCACTTTTCTAATATGTGTACACCTTAATTATAAGTATAGAGACTCTTTTGTAATGTATATTTGTGCATGCCTTACTTTTTGTCCAATCTATAATTAGAGAATGCTTTAATCTACAGTCACCTGATTTGGTCATGACCAGAAGAGGGCCCATATAAATTAAGAAAACAGGTGATCTGATTTGGTCATGACCAAAAGTGGGCCCATATAAATTAAGAAAACAGGTGACCTGATTTGGTCATGACCAGAAGTGGGCCCATATAAATTAAGAAAACAGGTGATCTGATTTGGTCATGACCAGAAGAGGGCCCATATAAATTAAGAAAACAGGTGACCTGATTTGGTCATGACCAGAAGAGGGCCCATATAAATCAAGAAAACAGGTGATCTGATTTGGTCATGACCAAAAGATGGCTATATAGATTGGGAAGTCTGGTGGAAACTGAAAAAAATTTTTTTTTTAACTTTTGAAATTCCATAAGTGTTATTTATGAATTTATTATACCTGTGTTTGCATTATTCATGCACTGTTTATCTTCCCATTTCCCACTACAGTTGTGAGTTACTGCTGCTGATGTTAGATGACAGGTTTATATAAACTATTGTTTGTTAATATTGATGTTTGTTAGTTAACTTTTTACTTTAATTGCTATTTCTTACAGTATTTGAGTATTTGTTTGCCATTAAGTTGTTTTATATTTTGTATTACAGAAAGTTGGTGAGAAGTTGACCTCATCAGATTTGAGATTTCTGAGTGAGATAGTTGAATTAGATGAAACAAAATTTCCTTGGAACAGACAAGCAATGATGAGTGGAAAAGTTTGTACCATGTTTAATTTGTTTAACTTATCCCTGATGATCAAATATGTTACTTTATGATTTTGATTAAATGTATAGAAAACACATATAAGACGAATAAATAAATTTTGAGTTAATGTATAACATGAATGCTTACACAAACCCTTTTTGGTATTGAATTATGTATCATTTCACTTTGTAAAAGTTGAATACAAAAATTAAAATGTATGATAGCACACTTCATGTAGAAGTTAGAATATAGTGATAACACACTTCATTGATTATTGTAGGTGTTAGAATACATTGATAACACACTTCATTGATTATTGTAGATGTTAGAATACAGTGATAACACACTTTATTGGTTATTGTAGATGTTAGAATACAGTGATAACACACTTCATTGATTATTGTAGATGTTAGAATACAGTGATAATACACTTCATTGATTAATGTAGATGTTGGAATACAGTGATAACACACTTCATCGATTATTGTTGATGTTAGAATATAGTGATAACACACTTCATTGATTATTGTAGATGTTAGAATACAGTGATAATACACTTCATTGATTAATGTAGATGTTAGAATATAGTGATAACACACTTCATTGATTATTGTAGATGTTAGAATACAGTGATAACACACTTCATTGATTATTGTTGATGTTAGAATATAGTGATAACACACTTCATTGATTATTGTAGATGTTAGAATACAGTGATAATACACTTCATTGGTTATTGTAGATGTTAGAATACAGTGATAATACACTTCATTGGTTATTGTAGATGTTAGAATATAGTGATAACACACTTCATTGATTATTGTAGATGTTAGAATACAGTGATAATACACTTCATTGGTTATTGTAGATGTTAGAATACAGTGAAAACACACTTCATTGGTTATTGTAGATGTTAGAATACAGTGAAAACACACTTCATTGGTTATTGTAGATGTTAGAATACAGTAATAACACACTTCATTGGTTATTGTAGATGTTAGAATATAGTGATAACACACTTCATTGATTATTGTAGATGTTAGAATACAGTGATAACACACTTCATTGATGTAATGTTAGTATGTTAGAACTATAGTTGATAATACACTTCATTATATGTAGTGTTAGAACAGTTAACACACTTCATTGATTAATGTAGATGTTAGAATACAGTGATAATACACTTCATATTAATGTAGATGTACAATACAGTAGATAACAGTGAAACACTTCATCGATAATGTAGATGTTAGAATACAGTGATAACACACTTCAAATTGATTATATGTAATGTTAGAATACAGTGATAATACACTTCATTGGTTATTGTAGAGTTTAGAATACAGTGAAAACACACTTCATTGGTTATTGTAGATGTTAGAATACAGTTGAAAAACACACTTCATTGGTTATAGATGTTTAGAATACAGTAATAACACACTTCATTGGTTATTGTAGGATGTTAGAATATAGTGATAACACACTTCATTGATTATTGTAGATGTTAGAATCAGTGATAACACACTATATTCGATTATTGTAGATGTAGAATATACTTCATTGGTTATTGTGATGTTAGAATTACATGAAACACACTTCATTGATTAATGTAGATGTTAGAATACAGTGATAACACACTTCATTGATTATTGTAGATGTTAGAATATAGTGATAATACACTTCATTGATAAATGTAGGTGTTAGAATACAGTGATAACACACTTCATTGATTAATGTAGATGTTAGAATACAGTGATAATACACTTCATTGATTAATGTAGATGTTACAATACAGTGATAACACACTTCATCGATTAATGTAGATGTTAGAATACAGTGATAACACACTTCATCGATTAATGTAGATGTTAGAATATAGTGATAACACACTTCATTGATTATTGTAGATGTTAGAATACAGTGATAATACACTTCATTGGTTATTGTAGGTGTTAGAATACAGTGATAACACACTTCATTGATTAATGTAGATGTTAGAATACAGTGATAACACACTTCATTGATTAATGTTGATGTTAGAATACAGTGATAACACACTTCATCAATTATTGTAGATGTTAGAAAACAGTGATAATACACTTCATTGATTAATGTAGATGTTAGAATACAGTGATAACACACTTCATCGATTAATGTTGATGTTAGAATACAGTGATAATACACTTCATTGATTAATGTAGATGTTAGAATACAGTGATAACACACTTCATCAATTATTGTAGATGTTAGAATACAGTGAGGAGCTGAAGAAATCAAGTATAAAACTGACAACAGTGTCTGATGTGCAAAACAAATGCAAGTTTAAAGGCCTTCCTGAAAGAACATATACAAATAACGTGGCAAAATTGTTGTCATATTCAACACTATGGGTATGTTTACACGTAACTTATTTTTAGGATTTAACTTTATCTTTCGTTACTGTCAAGTAATTCTTAAGCAAATGAATGCTGCTTGTATAGGTGAGTATTCCTTTGTTACTGTATCATATATAACATGTATATGTAGCATCCCTCTCTGAACGTCATGTGTAATATTCATATCAAATAACCTGTTGATATTAAAAGATGTTATGATCAAGTCTTGTATAGACATGTTGTATGTTATGTTTGTATAGTTTCATGAGTTGACATTTGTTTTGTTGACAGGGACATAGTGTTTACTACCATGTATGTTATGTTTGTATAGTTTCATGAGTTGACATTTGTTTTGTTGACAGGGACATTGTGTTTACTACCCTGAGTTAGAGACTGCACCAGTTGTTACAGATTTCCAATTCTTAGCAGATATTATACAAAAATTGATGTTTACATCTGCACCTCAGACATGTGACATTCGTTGCCTTGGAGACAAAATACCTTGCTGGAAAAAACAGGATCTAAAAACAGTTTGGCCTGGAGCATCTGATGATGAAATTGTAAGTCATCGATTGCTTAGATTATTGTTAAATATCCTTCAAACCAGCAATGTTTTAAAGTGAAAAAGAAACAGTTTGGTTCGTGTCATCATTTCTTACAGGTCATACATTACATGTATAATGTTTGCGGTAACTTATATGTGATTAGTTCTATTTGAAATAATGCTTATCAGTTTACACTGTGATGTAAGTAAAGAAGCATTTTGTTTTTATTTATAGATGTTGTTGTTACGAGTTCTAGAGAAGCAAGGCATTTTGTTGACATTTGCAGTAGATCCATGGTGCAGTATACAGGATGTATCATACATCTTTGTCTTATATAAAGATTTACCAAGTGAAGCTTCAATGCTGGTAATCATTTGTTTACCTTTAATTTAACATGACTAAATTTGTTGTGAAATTGACCCAGCTTGGAATTTGAAAATGTTTTCAGCATTTTAAAGAGAATTCAGTATTAATATCTAAAATTGAGCATCCAAAAGTAAAGACACAAACATATAGGGCCTGGTCAGGCAGCAAACAAGTTAGGGCCATGCAACGCAAGTATAGGGCCTAGTCAGGAAGCAAACAAGTTAGGGCCAGGCAACACAAGTATAGGGCCTAGTCAGGCAGCAAACAAGTTAGGGTCAGGCAACACAAGTATAGGGTCTGGTCAGGCAGCAAACAAGTTAGGGTCAGGCAACACAAGTATAGGGCCTGGTCAGGCAGCAAACACATTAGGGTCAGGCAACACAAGTATAGGGCCTAGTCAGGCAGCAAACAAGTTAGGGTCAGGCAATACAAGTATAGGGCCTGATCAGGCAGCAAACACATTAGGGTCAGGCAACACAAGTATAGGGCCTTGTCAGGCAGCAAACAAGTTAGGGCCATGCAACGCAAGTATAGGGCCTAGTCAGGCAGCAAACACATTAGGGTCAGGCAACACAAGTATAGGGCCTGGTCAGGCAGCAAACACATTAGGGTCAGGCAACACAAGTATAGGGCCTAGTCAGGCAGCAAACAAGTTAGGGTCAGGCAATACAAGTATAGGGCCTGATCAGGCAACACACACAAGTATGACCAGCTTGACTTCAGTTATAGCTTAGATTTTTTATTATAAGTACACACAAAGCGGAATTTTGTCTATGACACATTGAATAATATTTAGTATGAGTGGCTGGCTGATAATTTTTTTATCTTTTATTTCTGTGCTATACAATTAAATACTTATGGAAGTACAGTTCCTTTAGAATGGTTAGCATATTTCAGTAAATGGGAAAAAAAACTTTACCTAATACAAAAAAATAAACAATGTTCCTATCATTCCATCAATGTATTACCCCAATATAAATGACTTATTCTTGAAGATAAATGGCTTTTCTTAATGCGTTTTTTGCAGATTAAAAATATTTTTACATTTACACTTTCATTTTATAAATGAAAAAATAGGGAATATATCGAAACGGTTATGAGACCATTACAAGAAATGACGACATTACCTTCTTTGAAGTTATTATGTCCTGGGTAAGTTTTAATGTGTTTGATTATTTACAACCATAGATACAATCCACTTAAGTTTGAAAGTCCTCTGCTGTCAATAATAGAAGTTAAATCAAAAGTCTTCATATTTTGTAATCACCTCTCATAAAATGTACTTTTATTTGTTTTCTAGGAAGATTACTGGCCATTGACAAAACCTGATAAATTTGTTGAAAGGACAAAGTTTTACTTCTGTTGCCCAGGACTACCAGAATCATTCTTCCCAAACTTACTCAGGTGACTGTCTTTATTTCAAGATAAAATCTTTTTATTCATATTTATTTATACTTATAGAAAACTTCTAGATTGTTCCTTTTGTTTTAATATAAGCTGTATAGCGGTAAAGATATCATCATAATATAAGCTGTATAGAGGTAGAGATATCATCATAATATAAGCTGTATAGAGGTAGAGATATCATCATAATATAAGCTGTATAGAGGTAGTGATATCATCATAATATAAGCTGTATAGAGGTAGTGATATCATCATATTATAAGCTGTATAGAGGTAGAGATATCATCATAATATAAGCTGTATAGAGGTAGAGATATCATCATAATATAAGCTGTATAGAGGTAGAGATATCATCATAATATAAGCTGTATAGAGGTAGAGATATCATCATATTATAAGCTGTATAGAGGTAGTGATATCATCATGATATAAGCTGTATAGAGGTAGAGATATCATCATAATATAAGCTGTATAGAGGTAGTGATATCATCATAATATAAGCTGTATAGAGGTAGTGATATCATCATATTATAAGCTGTATAGAGGTAGAGATATCATCATAATATAAGCTGTATAGAGGTAGAGATATCATCATAATATAAGCTGTATAGAGGTAGAGATATCATCATAATATAAGCTGTATAGAGGTAGTGATATCATCATAATATAAGCTGTATAGAGGTAGAGATATCATCATAATATAAGCTGTATAGAGGTAGAGATATCATCATAATATAAGCTGTATAGAGGTAGAGATATCATCATAATATAAGCTGTATAGAGGTAGATATATCATCATAATATAAGCTGTATAGAGGTAGAGATATCATCATAATATAAGCTGTATAGAGGTAGAGATATCATCATAATATAAGCTGTATAGAGGTAGAGATATCATCATAATATAAGCTGTATAGAGGTAGAGATATCATCATAATATAAGCTGTATAGAGGTAGTGATATCATCATATTATAAGCTGTATAGAGGTAGAGATATCATCTTTTCATATCCATTATTTTATGAAATATATTGTAGTATTATGTTAAATTGTAGTTTGATGTCAGATTATGTAAAACTATATATGAGCCACATCACAACAAAACCAACATAGTGCGTTTACAGTCTGATCAGGATCCATGCTGTTCGCTATCAGTTTCTCTACTTGTAAAAGGGTTGGTAAGCGAACAGCATGGATCCTGATCAGACTGTGCAGATGCGCAGGCTGGTCTCGATCCATGCTGGTCGCAAACGCACTATGTTGGTTTTGTTGTGACAAGGCTCATATATTATTATGTAAACTGTTTAAATACATATAATCATAATAATATATTCAGATAATTATATAAGTATGGCCAGAATAAATCTGTATTTTTTAAATAGTGTTAAAAATAAAGCTTTTTGTTTTCAGACATGTGTTTAAGCTCGGAGGACCTTCTGTAGCTTGGGAAAGTGGAGCTGTGATCATTAAAGGACATTTAACAATTCTCATTGAAAGGATATATGACGTACAGGGTACATGTTACACTATATGTTTAAAAACACTGTATACCTCATATATTGAATGATATATCTGAAGCATACATTGTTTACACAAATGTAAATGAATATAAATATTAATGATTCATGGGCGACTAGCTACCAATATAATGGAATGGGGTTGTGTTTCCCTATATACTTGGCAAATCTTCCTATAAACTCTGGTGAGAGTTGTAGATTCATTTATTTCTTAAACAAACTATTTATCTGGGCTGCCAGTGATTGTGACTATGGTTGTTTATTATATACGGTCTGTTAGTGATTGTGAATGTTGTTGTTTATAATATCAGGACTGCCACTGATTGTGATTATTGTTGTTTATAATATCAGGACTGCCGGTGATTGTGATTGTTGTTGTTTATAATATCAGGACTGCCAGTGATTGTGATTATTGTTGTTTATAATATCAGGACTGCCGGTGATTGTGATTATTGTTGTTTATTATATCAGGACTGCCAGTGATTGTGATTATTGTTGTTTATAATATCAGGACTGCCAGTGATTGTGATTGTTGTTGTTTATAATATCAGGACTGCCAGTGATTGTGATTATTGTTGTTTATAATATCAGGACTGCCAGTGATTGTGATTGTTGTTGTTTATAATATCAGGACTGCCAGTGATTGTGATTGTTGTTGTTTATAATATCAGGACTGCCAGTGATTGTGATTATTGTTGTTTATAATATCAGGACTGCCACTGATTGTGATTATTGTTGTTTATAATATCAGGACTGCCGGTGATTGTGATTATTGTTGTTTATTATATCAGGACTGCCACTGATTGTGATTATTGTTGTTTATAATATCAGGACTGCCAGTGATTGTGATTATTGTTGTTTATAATATCAGGACTGCCAGTGATTGTGATTATTGTTGTTTATAATATCAGGACTGCCAGTGATTGTGATTGTTGTTGTTTATAATATCAGGACTGCCACTGATTGTGATTATTGTTGTTTATAATATCAGGACTGCCGGTGATTGTGATTATTGTTGTTTATTATATCAGGACTGCCAGTGATTGTGATTATTGTTGTTTATAATATCAGGACTGCCAGTGATTGTGATTATTGTTGTTTATAATATCAGGACTGCCACTGATTGTGATTATTGTTGTTTATAATATCAGGACTGCCAGTGATTGTGATTGTTGTTGTTTATAATATCAGGACTGCCACTGATTGTGATTATTGTTGTTTATAATATCAGGACTGCCAGTGATTGTGATTATTGTTGTTTATAATCAGGACTGCCACTGATTGTGATTATTGTTGTTTATTATATCAGGATTGCCAGTGATTGTGATTATTGTTGTTTATATATCAGGACTGCCAGTGATTGTGATTATTGTTGTTTATAATATCAGGACTGCCAGTGATTGTGATTATTGTTGTTTATAATATCAGGACTGCCAGTGATTGTGATTATTGTTGTTTATAATATCAGGACTGCCGGTGATTGTGATTATTGTTGTTTATTATATCAGGACTGCCAGTGATTGTGATTATTGTTGTTTATAATATCAGGACTGCCGGTGATTGTGATTATTGTTGTTATAATATCAGGATTGCCAGTGATTGTGATTATTGTTGTTTATTATATAATGTCTGCCAGTGATTGTGATTTTTGTTGTTTATAATATCAGGACTGCCAGTGATTGTGATTATTGTTGTTTATTATATCAGGACTACCAGTGATTGTGATACAAGTTAGAGGACCTGGAATACAGGATATGAGACACTCGGAGGACTGGACAACTCTTAAACTTTACTGTAATGTGATGGATCATTTAGCAGTGAAGTACAAGCTCTCTGTTGCTGTAAGTTATAACATATGATAAAGTACAATATAACATATACTGATACAGTGCAATATAACATATACTGATGCAGTACAATATAACATATACTGATGCAGTTCAATATAAAATATACTGATGCAATACAATATAACATTTACTGATACAGTACAATATAACATTTACTGATACAGTACAATATAACATATACTGATACAGTAGAATATAACATATACTGATACAGTGCAATATAATATACACTGAAACAGTACAATATAACATGTTCTGAAACATATACTGAAAAAGTACAATATAACATATACAGATACAGTATAATATAACATATACTGAAACAGTACAATATAACATATACTGATACAGTACAATATAACATATACTTTTACAGTGCGATATAACATGAACTAAAACATATACTGATACAGTACAATATAACATATACTGATACAGTATAAGACATAGCAAAGGTTTAATTGGAATCTGCTTTCTTAGTTTTGATTTATGGTTTTAGGCATTCTTTGATAATTAGATTAAGAACTTTTTGTTCTAAAACTGTTCCATCATTTTTTTGACAATTTTAAGTGATTCATGTTAAAAAAACTAGGCAGAAATATATGTACTTATAAAATTGTGGTTCATAATTCAGTTTTTTTTGTGTGTTTGGATATGTTACCTTTTATTTTACAGAAAACCATGCCATGCTTGCATTGTGAGAATTCTACTGTTGGTGGTAGGTATGAAATTCTAGCTTCTAAGAAACCAGGAAGATACTTTCACGAGCATTTAGTACGTGGAGGGGAAAACCGGGATGTCAAATGTAAACATTGCCATCATCCATGTTCTGTCCCACTTCAGCTAGGACCAGGTATTAGTGTTATCTTTTATCGTGACAACACAGTGAAATAATATAATTTACAATAATAAGAGCTGTTTAACTATTTATATTTTCATTATTTAACAAACCTTTATGAATACATTACAAAATCAGTAAGAACAACAACAAGAAATCACTCAATAACTTAGCTTATCAAGTGTATCAAGATTTTAAAAAACATAAGTTTTAAGATATCATGTATGTGACGGGAAATTTACAAATTATTTCTAATTGTTATGTTCTGTATTGAATATTTTAGGTATAGAGTTGAATGACCTTGTACCGTGGCATGATCGGGGTGGCAGTGCTGGGGATACCTCTAACTTTCTCAGTAGATGCCTCATGTGTGAGAACTGTGCCATAGATGGTATACAGTGTGAGGTCAATCTAAAACATGGCATTAAAAACTGGTTTGTTTATTTTATTCTATGATATAGCAAGAAAGTCTTGACAATTTTATCTTGATATTAAAGATGAATTTAAGAACTGGTCAATTTTATCTTGATATAAGTTGCAGTGTGACTAAGTGGTTAACAATTTGGACTACTAATCTAAGGATTGCTAGACAGTAGGGTTCCAGTCCCTTACGAGCAATTTGTTATTTGTTTAAGAGGAAACTTTACACTTATTGTTTAGTACTAGCAGGTTACAGGAACGGATTCAAGTGTGTGTCTGTAAGCTTATATCATCCTACACCATCAATGTAAAATAAGTTCTAATTATTATTCATAAAACATGGTATTGAATCTGGTTAGTTTTATCTTAATATTAAACATTGTGTTAAAACTGGTTTGATGATCCTTTATATTGGATATGGCATTAAAATCTGATGAATTTGTTCTTTAAATAAATATTTGCAATTAAAACTGGTCATTTTATTTTCATTTAAATCATGGCATAAAAACTGGCAAGTTTTATTATTATGTAAAACATATCTGCACTTTTTTGACCATTATTGACATTTTCTGGCTATTTTGGGTAGCAGTAACCAAGAAATAATACAAGTATATTGTTGCCCAGCTGATGTCTAGCTTGTATAAAAATGTCCTATAATTTCAGGAGGTGTGGCTGTGACAGGGAGGGGATGTTATGTAATTATTGTGGGATGTGTCAGAGATGCTTTATTTATATCAAGGTAGTGAATATTTTATTATCATATTATTATTTATATCAAGGTAGTGAATATTGTATTTTATTACACGCTTTTCGGTTGTTTATAGAAATATATCAGTGATATAAAACTGGTAATTTCACTGTTTGAAACATTGAAATTACCACTTTGGTAATTTCACTGTTTTGAATTTAAGCCCCTTACGTTGTTTCAATGAAATACCAGTGTGCACAGTACTGGATACCAACTTAATGACGTGACGTGACAAATGACGTCACGTTGTATTATTATTTGGCGCGCTTTTCATTCAGTATTAGGTTTAATGTCTTTTTAAAACGTTCCTTGGCATGTAATAAAAAGAAAATTTGTTTAGTTTAGTGTAAGATCGAAATATATTTCACCTTGTGAACACCGAAAGTTCATATTTCACTCGTGGCTGCGCCACTCGTGAAATATACATTTTGGTGCTCACTCAGTGAAATATATTCCGATCTTACACTAAACTAAACAAATATCCTCTATATCATTTATATCAAGGTAGAAATTATTTTATTATCATAATATCTTTTATATCAAGGTAGTGAATTTTATATTATCAGAATATAATTGATAATCATAATGAGTGCCTCGCATGTGAACAGGCCGTCTCCCATCTATATTATTGTTTTCTTTCCCCAACTTCATTAAGGTAAGTACATTTTTTTGCCCACATTTTCCATACTTTTATTTTGTTTTTATTGTATGATGTATTAAATGGCAAAGTCTGTGCAAATGTTCTTATCTGATGTGTTACAAGTCAGTGTCTTCCTGTTTTATGAGATACCTTGATTTGATGTTAATATGTTTTCTTTACACTCTTTTTTCCCCATAGAACTTCGTTTCTATAGGAACTTGTCATGAGCATTTTTTATTGAGAAGGTAAAATCAATTATCAGTAAATATTTTTATGTTCTGTTGTTGAACAGATTTTTATATTTATTTATAGAGGTCAGTATCTCTGGTTGAACCAATGTTTACCTGATGTTTTTTTCTCGTTATAGATGTCGGTATCTGTGGTTGAACCGATGTTTACACCACTTGCATCAGGTAGATATTCCCATGATCAACTTGTAGCTAATGATGAGGTCAGTGTGACAGAGAAGGGAAGTGTAGTAGGATTGTTGACAGCTGAATCAGAGCTGATTGTAAAGAGCTGTATATTGACACCAAACTATTGTCCAGACATTACTCTAACAGTCATAAAAAATGCCCACTTTAAACTCAGTCTTCTTATGTAAGTTGAAAATTTTGTTATATTATCTGGCTGTCTCAATATTGGTTACTGTAACATGTTATAAAATAGACATTGTTAAATGTTATAAAGACATTGTTGAGTAATTCACTGTTGTCTAGGACTGATTGCATTATACATGTATATTAAAATATTACAGGGTAAGCTATGGGCTGTTTGGATTGTTATCCTGAGATGTTTATTGTATCTTGATAATTTAACTGATATTTGAATGCTTTATGTTTGGTGGTGCTATGACATAGCCAGGTATATACATGTTAATCAAGACTTTTGTTATTCTCTTATAATTTTGCCAAGTAATTAAAGGTATACAAACATAACATAATATAAATTTTTAGTAAGCATTAAACATATCATACAATGTTTATAGCCAAAATGAAGAAAAATTAAATGTTAATATATGCATAAGCTTACCTGGAATATAGAGATATGTTGTTCTAGAATTTTCTGGAATTTAAGATTTTTATTATTTCAGGGATAGAAAAGATGAGCAGGGATTACAGTATTTCAGTGACAGTGGTAGAGTGATGGAAGTTCTAGAAGAAAAGATAGAGAAAGAGTTACTAGGGAAAGATACATTCCGTACTTGTAAAGATGGTGATACTATGAAAGTATCGTTACGCTACCTGAAAGTAAGATCTTAATGACACATCAATTTTGTTGGTTTTAATTTTGGATGAACCAGCCTTTTTGATTTTATTTTTATAATTTTAGGAACACACATTATATCTTGAGAGATGTCCTGTAGTATTAAGTTGTGATTATACATATAAAAATTAATGTGTCATTTTTGTGAAGTTTATACTATTTTTGTATAAAATGCTGGATTGCTTAGACCTTAGTTCCCATAACTTTCATGTTAAAACATTTTTATTTTAATTTTAGATAAGTTACTTTGTTATGAAAATTTTACAATTTATGGGTGAAATTTTTACCTTGGGTAATAGTTTTATAAAGTTTATTCAATTGTTTATTGTGTTCAGATTGTTATGATGTTTCCAATGTTTTTCCAGTGATTGATATTTGTTAAATAAAGTTAACATTTTCAAGGCTGCTTCATATAACATAAAATTGAGCCATGTTGTACCTTGATGGTAGATACATTTAAACATTTTATATTTTTGTTATTAGTTTAATGTTGTTTTAGATGTTTAATATAAATTTTGTATTATCAGGGCACTTTTAATATAAATTTTGTATTATCAGGGCACTTTTCATATAAATTTGTATTATCAGGGCACTTTTAATATAAATTTAGTATTATCAGGGCACTTTTCATATAAATTTTGTATTATTAGGGCACTTTTAATATAAATTTTGTATTATCAGGGCACTTTTAATATAAACTTTGTATTATCAGGGCACATTTACATATAAATTTTGTATTATCAGGGCACTTTTAATATAAATTTTGTATTATCAGGGCACTTTTCATATAAATTTTGTATTATTAGGGCACTTTTAATATAAATTTTGTATTATCAGGGCACTTTTAAGATCAGGGCACTTTGATATAAATTTTGTATTATCAGGGCACTTTTTAATATAAATTTTGTATTATTTGGGCACTTTTGATATAAATTTTGTATACCAGGGTATGTTAAAGATAAACATTTTGTATTATCAGGGCACTTTTAATATAATTTTGTATTATTAGGGCACTTTTAATATAATTTTGTATTATCAGGGCACTTTTAATATAAATTTTGTATTATTAGGGCACTTTTAATATAAATTTTGTATTATTAGGGCACTTTTAATATAAATTTTGTATTATCAGGGCACTTTTAATATAAATTTTGTATTATTAGGGCACTTTTAATATAAATTTTGTATTATCAGGGCACTTTTAATATAAATTTTGTATTATTAGGGCACTTTTAATATAAATTTTGTATTATTAGGGCACTTTTATTATATATTTTGTATATCAGGGTATGTTAAAGATATACATTTTGTATTATCAGGGTATGTTTAATATATAAATTTTGTATTATTAGGGCACTTTTAATATAATTTTGTATTATCAGGGCACTTTTAATATAAATTTTGTATTATTAGGGCACTTTTAAATATAAATTTTGTATTATCAGGGCACTTTTAATATAAATTTTGTATTATTAGGGCACTTTTAATATAAATTTTGTAATTATTAGGGCACTTTTAATATGAATTTTGTATTATCAGGGTATGTTAAAGATATACATTTTGTATTATCAGGGTATGTTTAATATATAAATTTTGTATTATTAGGGCACTTTTAATATAATTTATTTTGTATTATCAGGGCACTTTTAATATAAATTTTGTATTATTAGGGCACTTTTAATATAAATTTTGTATTATTAGGGCACTTTTAATATAAATTTTGTATTATTAGGGCACTTTTAATATAAATTTTGTATGTCAGGGTATGTTAAAGATAAACATTTTGTATTATCAGGGCACTTTTAATATAAATTTTGTATTATTAGGGCACTTTAATATAAATTTTGTATATCATGGTATGTTAAAGATATACATTTTGTATTATCAGGGCACTTTTAATATAAATTTTGTATTATTAGGGCACTTTTAATATAAATTTTGTATATCAGGGTATGTTAAAGATATACATTTTGTATTATCAGGGCACTTTTAATATAAATTTTGTATTATTAGGGCACTTTTAATATAAATTTTGTATTATCAGGGTATGTTTAATATATACATTTTGTATTATTAGGGTATGTTAAAGATACACATTTTGTATTATCAGGGTATGTTTAATATAAATTTTGTATTATTAGGGCACTTTAATATAAATTTTGTATATCATGGTATGTTAAAGATATACATTTTGTATTATCAGGGCACTTTTAATATAAATTTTGTATTATTAGGGCACTTTTAATATAAATTTTGTATATCAGGGTATGTTAAAGATATACATTTTGTATTATCAGGGCACTTTTAATATAAATTTTGTATTATTAGGGCACTTTTAATATAAATTTTGTATTATCAGGGTATGTTTAATATATAATTTTTGTATTATCAGGGCACTTTTAATATAAATTTTGTATTATCAGGGCACTTTTAATATAAATTTTGTATTATCAGGGTATGTTTGATATATACATTTTGTATTATCAGGGTATGTTAAAGATACACATTTTGTATTATCAGGGTATGTTTAATATATATTTTGTATTATCAGGGTATGTTAAAGATATACATTTTGTATTATCAGGGCACTTTTAATATAAATTTTGTAATATTAGGGCACTTTTAATATAAATTTTGTATTATCAGGGCACTTTTAATATAAATTTTGTATTATTAGGGCACTTTTACATATAAATTTTGTATTATCAGGGTATGTTAAAGATATACATTTTGTATTATCAGGGCACTTTTAATATAAATTTAGTATTATCAGGGCACTTTTAATATAAATTTTGTATTATCAGGGCACTTTTAATATAAATTTTGTATTATCAGGGTATGTTTGATATACACATTTTGTATTATCAGGGTACTTTTAATATAAATTTTGTATTATCAGGGCACTTTTAATATAAATTTTGTATTATAAGGGGAACTTTTAATATAATTTTGTATTATCAGGGTATGTTTAATATATAATTTTGTATTATCAGGGCACTTTTAATATAAATTTTGTATTATCAGGGCACTTTTAATATAAATTTTGTATTATCAGGGCACTTTTAATATAAATTTTGTATTATCAGGGCACTTTTAATATAAATTTTGTATTATCAGGGCACTTTTAATATAAATTTTGTATTATCAGGGTATGTTTGATATATACATTTTGTATTATCAGGGTATGTTAAAGATACACATTTTGTATTATCAGGGTATGTTAAAGATACACATTTTGTATTATCAGGGTATGTTTAATATATATTTTGTATTATCAGGGCACTTTTAATATAAATTTTGTATTATCAGGGCACTTTTAATATAAATTTTGTATTATCAGGGCACTTTTAATATAAATTTTGTATTATCAGGGTATGTTTGATATATACATTTTGTATTATCAGGGTATGTTAAAGATACACATTTTGTATTATCAGGGTATGTTTAATATAAATTTTGTATTATTAGGGTATGTTAAAGATATACATTTTGTATTATCAGGGTATGTTAAAGATACACATTTTGTATTATCAGGGTATGTTAAAGATACACATTTTGTATTATCAGGGTATGTTTAATATATATTTTGTATTATCAGGGCACTTTTAATATAAATTTTGTATTATCAGGGCACTTTTAATATAAATTTTGTATTATCAGGGCACTTTTAATATAAATTTTGTATTATCAGGGTATGTTTGATATATACATTTTGTATTATCAGGGTATGTTAAAGATACACATTTTGTATTATCAGGGTATGTTTAATATAAATTTTGTATTATTAGGGCACTTTCAATATAAATTTTGTATTATCAGGGTATGTTTAATATATATTTTGTATTATCAGGGTATGTTAAAGATATACATTTTGTTTTATCAGGGCACATATAAAATGATGAAGTTATCATTACATCTCAATGGTACTGTCATATATAGCAAAGAGATGAAAGCAATACAAGTGAAAGTAAAACTTAATGCTTTAAGTAATGATGGTGTTTTCCTACAAATAACTACACCAGGAAAGGTAACATTCTCTTTCTATTATTTTGATTTTGTTTATATAGTCTCAAGTTCCAAATTGATTTATAAACTTTATAATAAAATTTAATTTATTATATTGGTTAAAGAAATTGATACCTAACCCTTAAAGATTGTGCCTCATGTAGAATAAAATTACAAAAAAAAGTAATGATATAATAACATTGTAACTCTAAAGTTCCTCTTTCATGCATAAAGAAAATTTAAAGCCAAACAATGCATTATAAGTCCATTCGCTTCTTATCTAGATATAAATGTCTGATTTTTAAAGTTCATATAAAGAATATAAATGTCTGATATTTAAAGTTCATAAAGGATATAAATGTCTGATATTTAAAGTTCATATAGGATATAAATGTCTGATATTTAAAGTTCATAAAGGATATAAATGTCTGATATTTAAAGTTCATATAGGATATAAATGTCTGATATTTAAAGTTCATAAAGGATATAAATGTCTGATATTTAAAGTTCATAAAGGATATAAATGTCTGATATTTAAAGTTCATATAGGATATAAATGTCTGATATTTAAAGCTCATAAAGGATATAAATGTCTGATATTTAAAGTTCATAAAGGATATAAATGTCTGATATTTAAAGTTCATAAAGGATATAAATGTCTGATATTTAAAGTTCATAAAGAAACAGACAGAAGTAAAGAAGAATGAGAAGAAAAATTGTGGTGAAGCTGTTAAAGGACTAACATGTGGTAAGATTTACGTGACAATATACATGATAACAATATACATGATAACAATATACATGATAATAATATACATGATAACAATGTACATGATAACAATGTACATGATAACAATATACATGATAACAATATACATGATAACAATGTACATGATAACAATATACATGATAACAATGTACATGATAACAATATACCTGATAATAATATACATGATAACAATATACATGATAACAATGTACATGATAATAATATACATGATAACAATATACATGATAACAATATACCAGATAATAATATACATGATAACAATGTACATGATAACAATGTACATGATAACATTGTACATGATTACAATGTACATGATTACAATGTACATGATAACAATATACCTGATAACAAGGTACATGATAACAATGTACATGATAACAATGTACATGATATCAATGTACATGATTACAATGTACATGCTAACAATATACCTGATAATAATATACATGATAACAATGTACATGATAACAATGTACATGATAACAATATACATGATAATAATATACATGATAACAATGTAAATGATAACAATATACCTGATAATGATATACATGATACCAATGTACATGATAACAATGTACATGATAACATTGTACATGATTACAATGTACATGATAACAATGTACATGATAACAATGTACACGATAACAATGTAAATGATAACAATGTACATGATAACAATGTACATGATAACAATATCCATGATAACAATATACATGACATGGTTAGATTTACGTAACAATATACATGACAAGATTTACATAACAATTTTACATGACTAAGTTAGTTTTATGAAACATTATACATGACATAGTTAGATTTAGTGTCATAACAATTTGACACTACATAATTTTCGTTATATACAAACATAGCATTAAAGCATGCTAATGTCAGTGTTACACTATAGGCATGTCAATGAAATATTACTCTTTTTTTAACTGTAAACTATTCTTGTTTTTGATATGTGATAAATAAAGTATTATTATCTTGTACTAATTTTTTTAACTCGTTGAATAAACCAAAATTATGCTCACCAGGGGCTGGCATAATATAATTTCATTCAACTTATCCAACAAATTCAGTTTAAGATCTTCACTCATTCAATATCCTCTATTTAATTTAGTTCATCTTTCTGTTGTGTTTTAAAGACAATAGAGATGCAGTCAGGTAAATAAATATTTCAGATTACAGATAAAGTTTATCAGTATCATTATAATATTAACAGTTTAAAATAAAACAATATACACCATCATTTAAATGTACAATATTTATTATTTTCAGCTTTGGAGATGAAGATGTATAATATGTTAGAGTCAATGGAGAGTGTTTGTTTTAACGGTCGAGGTTTAAGCCTGTCCGGTTCTGCATGTGTAACTCTGCCATCTAAGCTCACATTACAGAATCTTAAATACCCGAAACAAAGCTTGTTTAATGAGGTCATATATCACCATCTGTGTCTTACATGGAGTAAGTAGGAATTATATATTTATACCCATAAATAATGCATGAAGGTTATCCTCCAAATTTATAAAGCTGTGTCTCACATGGAGTAAGTAGGTATTATATATTTATAGACATGAATAATGCTTGAAGGTCATCCTCCAATTATAAAGCTGTGTCTCACATGGAGTAAGTAGGTATTATATATTTATACCCATAAATAATGCATGAAGGTCATCCTTCAATTATAAAGCTGTGTCTCACATGGAGTAAGTAGGTATTATATATTTATAGACATAAATAATGCTTGAAGGTCATCCTTCAATTATAAAGCTGTGTCTCACATGGAGTAAGTAGGTATTATATATTTATAGACATAAATAATGCTTGAAGGTCATCCTCCAATTATAAAGCTGTGTCTCACATGGAGTAAGTAGGTATTATATATTTATACCCATAAATAATGCATGAAGGTTATCCTCCAATTATAAAGCTGTGTCTCACATGGAGTAAGTAGGTATTATATATTTATAGACATAAATAATGCTTGAAGGTCATCCTTCAATTATAAATGTGAAAAGTTTGTCATGTGAGATTAACTGTATCATTGTGACATAAAACTCTGTTACAATAATATTATTACAAAACTTTAGATATATAAATTTAAGTTTAATTGTGACATTTTGTAAAATATGAACTGAACCAAACTAACTAAATGCACTTCTAATGATCTTGCAACATTTTTTTACTTCAGACCCTGTAGCAGGTCGTGCAACACTTTCTGTACGTAATCAAGGAGAAGCAATGATTGCTGATCGTAGAAAGTACAGTACATGGAACATGAAGCGTCTTGTACATTTTAGTGATGGTAAAGGTATACATGACAGTGATGTAAACAGTAAAGAAGATTTGGTGCCAGTATTGTGGATGTGGCATTTTATTATGACTACATACCCTGAGGTAATTATACTTAAAGGTCAACAAAAAAAAGTTTAATTATATCTATAAATTGTAACATTTTTATCATTCTGTAATTAAGAAATAATGTTTTACATACAAAAAATACTTTGTAAGCATACATAAACTAGCTTGATATAAAAAATATACATATGAACATGATACAATATTAGATTAAAAAGCATGTCATTTGTTTTGTGGAGATAATATAGTTGTTTTTCATTTATTATTTTAAAATTTAATCTCAGACATGTTTATATTGTTGGTAAAGCAGAACCCATGAGGGATTTGTTATGTACATTACCAGCAATTTGCTTAATTTGTATTGTCTTGATTAATTTTGTAGATGATACTGCCTGGTACAACTCAAAATTTGTTTCCAGACAATTTTCTGACAGACAAGAACCAGATACAGGTAGGTGTATGTAATAAGTCAAACATTCACATAATTGATGGCTATATAGAAATCATGAAGTCCCGTCATTATTTGCTCTTACACTTATCAACTTTGTTACAGAAGGGATTGACTTCAGGTTTCTTATTGGTGTCTTTTCTGTTAAAGCATAGGAATTTCATTTTCTCTTTCATTGGCATGGTCCAAGCATGGTACAAATATGTTATAGGTCTAATATTTCAGTTATACAGAAATAATAGTTTTGTGTCCAGTATTTAATTAGTTGAGCCACTGTCTCCCCTGACAGCTCTTGTTCATTGAAACCAGAACTTATTTTAATTTAAAGATTAAACTACATAATTATGAAAAGACATAAACAAATTCCATAATGCAAGATTTTACTTACAATTGATACTTAATGGACATTATGAAATTATTTAATTAATATTGTGTAGTTTAGTTCTTGAAGAAAGGTGGAATTTGTGATGAAAGTATTGGTTTATTTTTATATTTATGTACTTTATTAACCCAGTCTTTTGTTATGTTTTGTTTTGTTGTATGGGCACAATCAAAGCTAATACCTCTATCAGTACTTTTTGTATATATAAAAGCTTTTGTTACTGTACAATGTTATTTTATTTTTGGTATTCCATGCAATGGAACACTGCAGAAAATCCACTTTGTATTTAGACCTCACTTGTTAGATTTAGCTAAATACCTACAATAATTACATTTTTTTTCTGTTAAAATGATTTATTATTTATATAAAATAAATCTGTAGTAGAATATTATAACTAGACGATAGTCTTTGACATCAATGAATTAAACATTATATGTATGTGTATATGAAGGTGAAGGAAGGACTGCGTGCTCTCGTCATGGCAGGATTCTGGAAACATTTCAGCGAGTTTGATATCGGTTCTTTGGAGGATATGTTTCAGAAGAACTCAAAAGGCATCCTAATGTTTACTGGAGGAAATCCAATAGTGAAGAGCTCTTTGGTAAGATTCATTCTATTTTTAGCTTAACTTATATCAGCTGACAACATTGCATACAGTACAGGTTTTTTATTGCAATTTAATTTCTTATTTACTACTGAAGGTATTCTTTTGAAACAGTTTTATTTTATGTGACTGTCTAGGGCCCATGACCACCCTGCATGGACATGACTGGCTTGTCACTCTTTGTGTATCTAAAAATATCTTAAGGCTATGAACAAGTTTTACCTCTACAATTACTGTATACATGTCTTCATTTGAACTTTAACTTTGCTGTTTGTCTATTATATATGTGACTTCAGTGGTTAATTAATGTGGGTCCTGTGTCAGAGAAACATAAAAAGATTGATGCACAGTTTTTAAAAAATGTGCATCTTTTGGATGCATGGAAATTGTACAGACTGTATCTCAAAATCTCATGATCAATGATTAGTATGCAACACAAGACAAATAATATTAGCATAGGTTTTCATGAATGATTCCCCTTTTGAACTGAAGATCTGTTCTGGGTAAGTCATGTAATGAAGGTGCTATTCAGTAGTCAGATTATGTTCTTTACTTTCATCTTATTTATAATGAATCAAGATCATCTGCCAAAAGAACCTCCATATGCCAGATCTCCAAACACAGCTCAGGTGTACAAAATGTTGCCTTATTTTTTCTATTTGTTTTGTTTTCAAGTACATGGCTGTCAGGGAATGTTTCTATTTTCTTGTCTTCAGATACATTATTGTTGTATAATATATACATTTATTGTAATTACATTATAGTGATGTAACGTCAACATTTGTTACATGATGTAGGTAATTATTAATGTTTATTTTTAGGAGTTACAAGAGATCCTACAGGAGAACATAGACAAGACAGGTTTAAAACATGTATATAGCAAATTCAACAAAAATATCAATCTGTATTTATGCCCAGGACATGCTAACTGTATGTGTATGAAGGATAACTTAGTGGAGGTGTTACCTGAACTATATGGACATTACTCAGAATTCCTGTCTTTCATAGATCTTGGTTACAACAATCTAACTGTTATACCTGAAAACTTCTTCAACAGCTTACCAAACTTGCTGGATTTTAAAATAGCTCACAATTTCATCAGTGAAATACCAGGTAAACTGTCATCTACTTTAATTTTGAAATATATTCTTTGATATAAATGTATTATCAGGTGAATGGGTTTATAATAAAAGGTTTGTGGTACATTAAAACTAAAAAAAAATGTTTAATCTCCTTTATAAAACATTGCTAAAAGAGTATGAAACATGTATGGAATTTGTATGCTTTAAATGAATAATGTGATATAACAATAATCACATACATTACAGGTACCATCCCCTACTCTAACTTATATACTTACATAAAAGTTGCCATGAATATTCAATTATTAGAAAGACGGGCATGTATAACATAAGCTGAAATCATATAAAATGTAATTTTGTTAAAATAAAGTATAAATATGGAAGCTTAAAACATGTTCTGTAAAAAACTATTTTCATCTTACTTATACAGTTATAAATCACATAAAAATCAGACAGTGTAATGTTGGTAGGATATGTATCATCAGAATATCAATACTAAATGTTTTCATTTGATATAATTTATATCAGGTATGCCTTGTGTTTTCCTAACAACTTTCATTATAAGAAACTATTTAATTTAGAGATGGTCTCAATTTAGCAGCATTGATTATATATATTTTTACAAACAGTTAAAATTGAAGTTAATGTTATTATATGTTTACATTTCAAATAAAACAATTTTAGTTTTTAACTACCAAGCTGTTTTTATTTTTAGCATCAGTAAAGAATTGTAAGAAGTTATTGAGTTTGGTTGCCATGGAGAACAACATTGCAGATCTACCTGATAGTTTATCAGAGTTGACTGCCCTTCAAATTCTTGAGCTTGGAAATAACTGTTTCCCTAAAGTACCGAGTGTTGTTACAAAGCTTACCAGTTTAACTAAGCTAACTTTCCCATACATGATGCTCACAGGTAAACAATATTCTTCTTGGGTTCTTTTTATTGTAAAGTCGTCTTTGAATCTAGTAAATTAACTGTAGCATTAAGATTATTTCTTTTTATTGACCTATAGTAAACAGCTTTCAATAGTTGAATAAATATTACTTGTAATGTTATTTTGAATATAGAAATCATAATGTGAATGAAACAGTCAGATGTTCCCAGGCAGGGAAGTGTAACAATGGCCTGTAAACTAATAATGAAGTTGTAGATGCATAAGTTGTTAACTAACTGGTAAAGAAACAATAGCAGTTAGTTATTAACCAGAAATTATATTGTAGTTATAATTTTCAGACATTGTATAATTAAAATAATTTACAGACATTGTATAATTACAGTTATAATTTACAGACATTGTATAATTACAATAATTTACAGACATTGTATAATTACAGTTATAATTTACAGACATTGTATAATTACAATAATTTACAGACATTGTATAATTACAATAATTTACAGACATTGTATAATTACAATAATTTACAGACATTGTATAATTACAGTTATAATTTACAGACATTGTATAATTACAATAATTTACAGACATTGCATAATTACAATAATTTACAGACATTGCATAATTACAATAAATTACAGACATTGTATAATTACAATAATTTACAGACATTGTATAATTACAATAATTTACAGACATTGTATAATTACAATAAATTACAGACATTGTATAATTACAATAATTTACAGACATTGTATAATTACAATAAATTACAGACATTGTATAATTACAATAATTTACAGACATTGTATAATTACAATAATTTACAGACATTGTATAATTACAATAATTTACAGACATTGTATAATTACAGTTATAATTTACAGACATTGTATAATTACAATAATTTACAGACATTGTATAATTACAGAAATGCCAGATGATATAGGTAATCTTGTCAACTTGAAGTACTTACATGTTCATGGTAATTGTTTTACCAAGCTACCCAGTAGCTTCACCAAACTAGTTAATCTGGAAGAGTTCCTATGCAGTAAGATTTGTTTACATATTATCAACATTTTATTAATTATCCTTGTTTGTTATCTGATGTAAGGATCCTAAAAGCCTTTGAATTTTAAAGTTAGTAATGAATGTTAAAGGTATAAGGTGTAAGTTGAAGTTATTGATCTGAGTCTAATCTGTTAATCTACAGTTGTGATCTGACACTAGGGTATTAATCTCAGTATTGATTTATGACTAAGATTTAATATTAATTTGAGACAAAGGTATTGATCTGAGACTGAGGTATTAATCTGAGACTAATGTAGATGTGAGACTAATGTAAAAGTGTTGATCTGAGACGGAGGTATTAATCTGAGACTAATGTAGATGTGAGACTAATGTAAAGGTGTTGATCTGAGACTGAGGTATTAATCTGAGACTAATGTAGATGTGAGACTAATATAAAGGTGTTGATCTTAGTCTAAGGTATTGATCTGAGACTTGGATATAAATCTCAGTCTTAGCTATTGGTCTTAGACTAATGTAATGATCTGAGTCTAAGTTAATGATCTAAATCTAAGGTATTGATCTGAGTCTGAGGTATAGATCATAATCTAAGTTGATAGTGAGGCTTAAGTATTTATCTGAGACTTAAAATATTAATTTGAGACTTAAGTTTTGATTAATCTTGGTATGAAACTCCCATCTTTAAATATGCTGTTATATTTGCAGCTGGTGTTTCTGTAACATATCTATATTTATTTGTTTGTAACTGTGGATTTCATTATCATATAATATGCTTGATTTTATGGTAATATACTTTTTTATTTTTTGTAATGTTTGACTATATCTTTGTTTGTATCTGTTATTTATTGTGATTACATTTTTTGATTGTATATACATGTATATTAATTGTGTTGTGTTTGTTTGTAGATGGTGTTCAGTGGGCCAAGTTAAGCTCATCTCAGGACCATGTTTCCTATCAAGAGTTCAACTATTTCCTACAAAGGAAGATTGACAGATGGCTGGAAGCAAATGGAAAGGTATTTTTTATCAGGGGAAATAACTTACTTGTCTGTATATACAAGAATAACTGATTAGATAGACTTAACTGGCATTCATCAATTTACACTACATATAATCATCACATCAACAATTTAAAACTTTTCACCATCTGTTTTAAAAAAAAAAACCCATTATGTATGATTTCTGGATGTTGTTTTTCTATAACAAGAATGTTTTATGAAATACGATGTTAAATTTGTAACCAGGTGTTATGGTATTGAATCCAGGTTTCTATATGATTGAAACTAGGTGTGTATAACTTTTGTTCTTTTAAATTTTTTAGGATAAGAGGGAATTATTTCACATGTTTGATGAGAATAGTAATGGTGTGTTAGATATTAAAGAAATAGGCAAACTAAATGCTGCTATATTTAATCTATTTCCACGTCTTGGATACAAAGGGAAAGAGCAGCCAGGTAATTATTTGTTAATACAAAATAAATATAGACTTTATACATTATCTTTATAAAATTTTAGATTTGAAAATAATTATAAGCTTTAATGTAAAAGTGCCTTTTGCTTCTTGTAATGGAATGTACAATGCTGATCCCTTAATACCTGCATGTTTTGGAGAGATAGTCAAGGCATTGGCAGATGATTGAAGATACTCTGCAGCATGTAACATGGCTTTCTATAGCTCAGGACTATGTTTAGGGGGGGGGGGCACTACTAAGCTTGCATGAAGTTAGCTGCCGATGTCCAGACTGAAGCCAATGGTAGGCAGGGGTGAGAAGGAAGGATACTGTGGTGCAAGAACCGCTAGTAGCAAGAAACGGCTTGAAGGGAGACATCCTTTACTAGCAACCTCTGCCATTATTGTTACAGGTTTGAAAAGTAGCGTTTGCTATCAAGTATGGCCATGGGCATTTCACCAGTCATACCCTTAAAGTTATAATTTTGAAAAGCAATAGTTGGAGTATAATTTTTCATTTATTTTTACTTCTGTTTAGATGAATCTACCCCTGATGGTTTTCCCAGGGAGATATTAAGCTGTACAAAGTTGAAGGTGTTGATACTTGCGAACCAAGGAATTACCCGGATACCACCAGAGATCTGTCAGCTAACAAACCTGTATGAACTGAACCTCACTCACAACCCAAATCTACTCTCTGTACCTGCAGAAATTAGCCAGATCAAATCATTAAAAAGTTTGTACATTTATTATATCATTTCCAATTATTACTGTGACTAAATTGGCATTTATTTATAAATAACATTTTGATGAATTAATGATGGGGTTTAAATGATGGCAATCAGGTTTACTGTTCCTATTCAGATTATATAATTTCAATGCAATGCTCAATTTTTCTGTTTTCATAGAGGTTGCTGACAATTATTATGTTTTTTTTTCTAACTAATTGGCTAACTAACGCTCTATAACTCCTATACCACTTGAAGGATTTTCTTCAAATTTGGCTCAAATGTTCACCTCAGCAAGGGGATGTGCAGAATCCATGTTGCCCATGTGTCAGCTCAAGGTCAAGGTCACAGTTGAAGGTCAAATATCAAACACAATCATATATTAGACAGTTTGTCGTGTCCGCTCTGTAGGTCCTACAATAATTGAAAGATTTGCTTCAAACTTGGCTAAAATGTTCACCTCAACAAGGGGATGTGCAGAACTCATGTTGCCCATGTGTCATTTTAAGGTCAAGGTCACAATTGAAGGTCGAATATCAAACAATCAAATATTACACAATATGTCGTTTCCGCTCTGTTAGTCCTACACTAATTGAAAGATTTTCTTCAAACTTGGCTCAAATGTTCATTTCAACAAGGGGATGTGCAGAACCCATGTTGCCCATGTGTTAGCTCAAGGTCAAGGTCACAATTGAAGGTCAAATATCAAACAATCAAATATTACACAGTATGTCGTGTCCGCTCTGTAAGTCCTACACTTATTGAAAGATTTTCTTCAAACTTGGCTCAAATGTTCACCTCAATAAGGTTATGTGCAGAACCCATGTCTTAAGGTCAAGGTCACACTTGAAGGTCAAAAATTGACTTAGAAAATGTTCTTAAATTTTAACATATATCTGAATATTTCTGAATCTAGGAAAGGTATTTGCTTGAAACTTAAAATATATATGAAGTGTCACAATTAAGATATGCTGGTCAAGTTTCATAACTCTGTATTGCATTTTAACAAAGTTATGCCCCTTTTTAATCTTCAAATTTACATACAATCACATATTAGACAATATGTCGTGTCCGCTCTATAAATCCTATACTAATGGAAGAATTTTCTTCAAACTTTACTCAAATGTTCACCTAAACAAGGTTATGTGCAGAATCCATGTCACCTTTGTGCAGGCTAAAGGTCAAGGTCACACTTGAAGGTCAAAAATTGACTTAGAAAATGTTCTTAGATTTTAACATGTTCTTGAATATTTCTGAAACTAGCACAGGTATTTGCTTGAAACTTAAAAGATATGAGGTGTCACAATTAAGATATGAAGGTCAAGTTTCATAACTCTGTACTGCATTTTGACAAAGTTATGCCCCTTTTTAAGTCTTTAAATTTACATACAATCAATACTAGACAATATGTTGTGTCCACTCTATAAATTCTATACTAATGGAAGGATTTTCTTCAAACTTTACTCAAATGTTCACTCCAATTGGGCGATGTGCAGAACCCATCTTACCCTTGTGCCAGCTTAAGGTCAAGGCCACACTTGAAGGTCAAAAATTGACTTATAAAAATTTTAGTATATTGGGAAAATGAAAGGTTATTTGTAACTGTTTCGAACATGATTTGATAATAGATATTTTTACTATTACCTGTACAATGAGTCTTTTTTTCACCCGAGATAATTTCTTTTTATGTATTTGTGCCACTTAAGTTATTCCCTTAACCACCTTTCCAAGTCGTCTTCTGTCAAGGACATTGGTGGGGGTATGAATCGCATTCAGCGATAGTTCTAGTTTTACAAAACTTCATTAAACATGTAAGTTAACTAAATGTTCTGACTATTTTAAGTTTATATCCCCTACCAAAAAGGTAGCAAGGAGTATGGTTATAGTCTCCTTCTGTCTGTCCATCTGTCTGTCTGCTTCACATTTTTGTCCAGAACATAACTGGAAATGTATTTGAGATGTCAACATGAAACTTCTGTAATTTTTGTTACTAGAGTTAGACTTGGATGATTGTCCATTACTGAAGACACCTCCACGTGAGATACGAGATAAAGGTTTTCACTCAACATTTGCATATCTACAGAGGTTGTTGAGTGGAGCAGTTCTCAGTAAAAGAACTAAACTAATGTTAGTGGGGCTTGGTGGAGCCGGGAAAACTAGGTATTTTTACATTACTACAAATCTTTTACTTATGTTTACTGTAGGTATATATACATTACTACAAATCTTATCCTTATGTTTACTGTAATAACAAATTATAACTTTATATGAGAAAAACAGACACAGATGTAAATATAAATATAAGCGGCTTTTATGCTGAAAGCAACTTAACATAAATATAACCTAGTTTCACACTGTATATACTTATTATATATCAAATATACTTTGATTATTGTTTTAATAATGATGTTCTGTAAATTATATGTTGATTTATAGTTTAGTGAAGGCTCTATTGAGTGAAGATGGTGTAGCTAAACTAAAGCAAGGGGAAGATATCACTGATGGTAAGATTATTACATACAGTATACTTTTATCACTTTTGAAAATCTTTATTATTTAAGACTATGTTTCTATAGATCAGTTATTTATTAAAGGCATGAGATAGGTGAACAACTCCTTTTTAGAGATGTCTGCAATATATTTCAGTCGTCTATGTCACTTTTTATGCAAAACAAAAAGTGAGAGATAAGTTTACTTTTGGTGTACTTCTGTATCCTTATATCTATGTATCTATATATATGACAGGTATTGTTAATAGGTTATATATTAAATTACAAGAATTGTTTATTGATTATATATTACATTACAAGAATTGTTTATTGGTTATATATCACATTGCAATAATCGTTTATTGGTTATATATCACATTACAAGAATTGTTTATTGGTTATATATTACATAACAAGAATTATTTATTGGTTATATATTACATTACAAGAATTGTTTATTGGTTATATACTTTATTACAAGAATTATTTATTGGTTATATATTACATTACAAGAATTGTTTATTGGTTATATATTACATTACAAGAAATGTTTATTGGTTATATATAACATTACAAGAAATGTTTATTGGTTATATATTACTTAACAGGTTTTGTTTATTGGTTATATATTACATTACAAGAATTGTTTATTGGTTATATATTACATTACAAGAATTGTTTATTGGTTATATACTACATTACAAGAATTGTTTATTGGTTATATATTACATTACAAGAAATGTTTATTGGTTATATATAACATTACAAGAAATGTTTATTGGTTATATATTACTTTACAGGTTTTGTTTATTTGTTATATATTACATTACAAGAATTGTTTATTGGTTATGTATTACATTTCAAGAATTGTTTATTGGTTATATATATCTTTACAGGTTTTGTTTATTGGTTAAATATTACAGGTGCTGTTTATTGGTTATATAATACAGGTATTGTTTATTGGTTACATATTTTTTTACAGGTATTGTTTATTGGTAATATATTACTTTACAGGTATTGTTTATTGGTTATATATTACAGGTATTGTTTATTGGTTATATATTACAGGTATTGTTTATTGGTTATATATTACAGGTATTGATATTCAGACATGGCAGGTGAAACATGAAGAGGAGAAGATAACATACAATATTTGGGATTTTGCTGGACAAACAGTTTACTATAATACACATCAGGTATTATTATATCAATGAATTGATGTGTGACAATACAGTATGCACTTTATTCATTTATCTATAAAGGTTTAAACAGTTTGTCAACAGAGCTTTATGACTACTGCGGTTATATTTTCAGTTTTTCTTGTCTGACAACAGAGCTATATAAAAACTGCGGTTATATTTTCATTTTTTTCTGCTTGCCAACATAGCTATATAAAAACTGCGGTTATATTTTCAGTTTTTCTTGTCTGCCAACAGAGCTTTATATTTACTGCGGTTATATTTTCAGTTTTTCCTGTCTGCCAACATAGCTTTATAAAAACTGGGGTTATATTTTCAGTTTTTCCTGTCTGCCAACTGAGCTATATAACTACCATGGTTATATTTTCAGTTTTTCCTGTCTGCCAACATAGCTATATAACAACTGTGGTTATATTTTCAGTTTTTCCTGTCTGCCAACATAGCTATATAACTACCATGGTTATATTTTCAGTTTTTCCTGTCTGCCAACAGAGCTTTATAAATACTGGGGTTATATTTTCAGTTTTTCCTGTCTGCTTGCCAACAGAGCTATATGACTACTGTGGTTATATTTTCAGTTTTTCCTGTCTGCCAACTGAGCTATATAACTACCATGGTTATATTTTCAGTTTTTCCTGTCTGTTTGCCAACAGAGCTATATGACTACTGTGGTTATATTTTCAGTTTTTCCTGTCTGCTTGCCAACAGAGCTATATGACTTCTGTGGTTATATTTTCAGTTTTTCCTGTCTGCCAACATAGCTATATAACTACCATGGTTATATTTTCAGTTTTTCCTGTCTGCCAACAGAGATATATGACTACTGTGGTTATATTTTCAGTTTTTCCTGTCTGCCAACAGAGCTATAAAACTACTGCGGTTATATTTTCAGTTTTCCTGTCTGCCATCAGAGTTTTATAACTACCATGGTTATATTTTCAGTTTTTCCTGTCTGTGAACAGAGCTATAAAACTACTGCGGTTATATTTTCAGTATTTCCTGTCTGGCAACAGAGCTATAAAACTATTGCAGTTATATTTTCAGTTATTCCTGTCTGCCAACAGAGTTATATAACTACCATGGTTATATTTTCAGTTTTTCCTGTCTGTCAACAGAGCTATAAAACAACTGCGGTTATATTTTCAGTTTTTCCTGTCTGCCAACAGAGCTATAAAACTACTGCGGTTATATTTTCAGTTTTTCCTGTCTGCTTGCCAACAGAGCTTTTATAAATACTGCGGTTATATTTTCAGTTTTTCCTGTCTGCCAACAGAGCTATAAAACTACTGCGGTTATATTTTCAGTTTTTCCTGTCTGCCAACAGAGCTATAAAACTACTGCGGTTTTATATTCAGTTTTCCTGTCTGCTTGCCAACAGAGCTTTTATAAATACTGCGGTTATATTTTCAGTTTTTCCTGTCTGCCAACAGAGCTATATATTTACTGCTATGGAACGTACGACTGGGGCATGAACATGCAGGATTAGATTTTTGGTTGAGCTCAATCTCTGTTCAAGCTCCAAAAGCTCCTGTATTTGTTATAGGAACTCATATAGATCAGGTGATTCTTGTGTATTCTTTATCTGTTTCACTTGTCAAGAAAATTACTTCTAAAGGTGCCAATGGCAATAATAGCATGTGAAAAAATTCACAGTGTCCATTACTAATATATTTATACATGTACTAGTACAAGAACATGATCAAGCATTCTTGTAGGGTTATGTTTATTGAACTTAATTTCTGTTAGATTTCCGATACCTGATAAATATTCTTAGAATAAATACAGCCAGTTGAAAGTTTTAAATGATAATGTTACTATGTAAATGTTTTAAATGTGTTTATAATATAAAAGTTAGCATATAACATCATTGGATATACATGTATATAGTTGATATTAAGGCTATATATCAGTAATAAAAGCTTAAAATAACTTGACAATTTTAATGAAAGTTAACTTGTAGTTTTTTTGTTTCTTTGAGCTAGATATTAATTTATCTTTGTCAAATTTGTATTGCTTAAAAAAACTATAAATAATGAACTTGTGTTAGTGACTGTATAAATGATGTATTACAGGTCAGCAAGTCTGAGCTACCACTAGAAGAAATGCAGCAAAGGTACCCGCAAGTGGTCGGCTTTCATTTTATAAGCTCATACACTGGACAGGTATATATTGATATTGCTTTAATGCTATATTCTATAGGTTCACATATTTTGATTGTTTAGCCAAACTTGAAAATAGTTATTTAAAGCAATTTTATCTCAATATTTTAAAGTCTTAAAGGTTCATGTTTGACAAGTTGACATGAAGTTTTCTTATATGCTGTTTTCAACATTTCATCATATTCTTTAGCAATATCATTATTATTGTGAACAATAACCTTGTTTACATGTATATTACTTGTTATCATAGGTAGTATTGTTGTTTCATGTACATTTATGTTTTTATTATACTCTGCATTGTTGTTATCATGCCGATTAAACTGCATTGTTGTTATCATGCACTTAAAAGTTGTTATCAAGCTCTGTGTTGTTATTATCATGAGCACTAAAGTTGTTATCATGCACTCAATTGTTGTTATCATGTACATAAAGTTGTTATCATTCACTAAGTTTTTGTTATCATGTACCTTAAGTTGTTATGTTGTTATCATGTAAATAAAGTTGTTATCTTAAGTGAAGTATGTTATATTTACAGGGTGTAAGTTCACTAAAGTCAAGTATATTTGATGTGACACTACAGCAACAATATATGGGTGAACATATACCAGCAGTATGGCTAACATTTGAGAATAACATTGAAGTGTGAGTCTTATATCTTAAGGGCTAAACCTAACTTTGTTACTTTATATGCTTCAATATCTCTATAAATAGATATTACAGAGTTATTTTTGAGAGTTCTGTTAAAGTTTCTGTTAGTTCTTTTTCTTCATTTTGTTAACTTAGTTTGGTTACAAATAACTGTAATAGAATTCATCCATGTCACATTTAGTTTGGTTTATTTTTATATAAGAAACATTTTTGAAGTAATTTTTTATTTTCAATTTATTTTTATACATGAATGTAAAGGACAACATCAGATACAATATTAACATATGTGTGAATACAGGGCAGTTGGTACAATGTTTGCATTTTTATGTACAAAGGACAGTTGGTTGATACAATATTACACCTGTTTGTATAAAGTATGCTTGATGAAATATTTATAGAATCAAGAAGAAGAACGACATTGTGACATACAATGAGATAGAATTGTTAGCCAACAAATCTGGTATCTTTGAACCTTCTGAGGTAAGTCTCTTAGATAATGGTATTTATCTGAGGTAAGTCTTAGATAATGGTATTAATGTGAGGTAAGTCTCTTAGATAATGGTATTAATCTGAGGTAAGTCTCTTAGATAATGGTATTAATCTGAGGTAAGTCTCTTAGATAATGGTATTAATCTGAGGTAAGTCTCTTAGATAATGGTATTAATGTGAGGTAAGTCTCTTAGATAATGGTATTAATCTGAGGTAAGTCTCTTAGATAATGGTATTTATCTGAGGTAAGTCTCTTAGATAATGGTATTAATGTGAGGTAAGTCTTTTAGATAATGGTATTAATCTGAGGTAAGTCTCTTAGATAATGGTATTAATATGAGGTAAGTCTCTTAGATAATGGTATTATTGTGAGGTAACCTCTTAGATAATGGTATAAATATATGATAAGGCTTTTAGATATGCAATGGTATTAATATGAGGTAAGTTGCTTAGATAATGGTATTGATATGAGGTAAGTCTTTTAGATAATGGTATTAATATGAGGTAAGTCTCTTAGATAATGGTATTAATATGAGGTAAGTCTCTTAGATAATGGTATAAATATGAGGTAAGTCTCTTAGATAATGGTATTAATCTGAGGTAAGTCTCTTAGATAATGGTATTAATCTGAGGTAAGTCTTTTAGATAATGGTATTTTTGTGAGGTAACCTCTTAGATAATGGTATTAATCTTAGGTAAGTCTCTTAGATAATGGTATTAATCTGAGGTAAGTCTTTTAGATAATGGTATTTTTGTGAGGTAACCTCTTAGATAATGGTATAAATCTGAGGTAAGTCTCTTAGATAATGGTATTAATCTGAGGTAAGTCTCTTAGATAATGGTATTAATCTGAGGTAAGTCTTTTAGATAATGGTATTTTTGTGAGGTAACCTCTTAGATAATGGTATTAATATGAGGTAAGTCTCTTAGATAATGGTATTAATATGAGGTAAGTCTTTTAGATAATGGTATTGATATGAGGTAAGTCTCTTAGATAATGGTATTAATATAAGGTAAGTCTCTTAGATAATGCTATTAATGTGAGGTAAATCTCCTAGATAACTAGATAATAATACTTTTGTCATTTGTTGTTTTACAATTTATTGTTAAAGTATTTTTTGTCTAAAAATGCTGCTTGTTATGATGATGGTCTATTTCATTACTTTTTCAAAGATTTCAAACTGACAACTTTTTTAACATTTAAGGCCTATAATTCAACCTGGAGAATTTTAAAAAATTTTCCTCTATATTAACTCAAATTTCTTTTTGCCAGATATTTCAAGCAGTTCAGTTTCTTCATGACTTGGGAAGTGTCCAACATTTCACAAATGAGTATTTAAAGTCTAATGTTGTGATAAATCCACAGTGGATTGTAGATGTGATGGCATGTGTAGTGTCTGTGAAAAATGATTTCATTAAAGTAAGTGATCATTTATTGTTTTTACAGCATTGATATTATTATAAGCCAAGTTTGAAATTATGCTGTAGTAATGATATATTACGGCATAAAAATTTAAATATTGTATATAAAAATACTTATAATGATGAAATAAATTTCTTTAATTCTGATTGCCATAAACACTTTGTAAACTATGTTGTATATACTGTGAAGAACCGAACCACAAACAAATAACAATATATTTCAACAACGTAGAAGGTTAACTACATGTGTGTATAAAATTTATTATTGAGTTTTGTTCTTTTATGGCATATTTCTTGTTTCAAAAGTTGTTACTTATTGCACATAGTAAGCATAGTCATTGAACGGCACCATTTTCATGTGCTTCCTCAGTATCAAATACAGTTGATTTTTTAGCTTATCTGAACTCTATATTCTGCTGGCAAAAAGTGTAACATTGTTTTTAATTTATAGTTATTAATAATTTCCTTTAACAAGAATCTTTATTGGTTTCTGAGTCATATTAAGGCTTGTTTTAAGATAAATTTTATTTATTGTAAAGAATGGTCGCCTTGTTCATGATGATATTGACAAGGTATGGAGTGCTTACCCAAAGAAACTAAGATCCTGGCTGCTACGACTTACTGAAGAGTTTGACTTGACCTTCCAGCTTAAAGATCAACCTGTCAACCTTGTACCATGTCTACTCCCAGAAAAAAAACCAGAGGTAGAAATGTTCAAATGTATATTTTTCTACCACATAGAAATATTGCAAACACTTTCATTCTTTAACCACATTTAAGGCCTCAACATGCACATCACTTAGCAGATATATAAACAATGAATGATTAATCTGTTTCTAGATATTCTTGATTCATAAATACTTAATGTTAAAGATTTAAGGAAGGATAATTCTGCAAATGCTGACAGTGCTGATGTGTGAATAAAATTGAAGAGATTTAGACATAAATAATTGGTGAAGTAAAGTATTATATTTGTATAAAAGGCAAAAGAGATTTATCCAGTATTTTTTCAAGTCTTCCAGTATATAATTTTGTATTACTTCATACATTTATTTAAATTAAGGTTCCAGCTTCACAGCTCAATACGTGTTCTAATGTGTATTTTATATTTATATTGTTTGACAGTTTACATGGCCTGAGATTGAGAGAGGTTCAGATATTAGGGAGAACAAGATGGTGTATACATTTGAGTACCTCCCTGCTGGACTCTTCAACAGAGCACAAGTATGTTCTTTTCTGTACATAAACATAACAAGTAGATTTGTCCTTAATATTCTGTACAACTTTATTCTCTGTAATTCTTTGATATAGGTTTAACTTCATTCTCTGTAATTGTTTTATGTAGGTATAACTTCATTCTCTGTAGTTCTTTGATGTAGGTACGATTTTATTCCCAGTAATTCTTTGATGTAGGTATAACTTTTTTCTCAATTTTTTAATGTAGGTACAACTTTATTCTCTGTAGGTACAACTCTATTCTTTGTAATACTTTCATTCTAGGTACGACTTCATTCCCTGTAATTCTTTGATGTAAGTGTGATTATATTCTCCTTAATTCTCTGATGTAGGTGCAACTTTGTTTTCTGTTATTCTTTCATGTAGGTATGACTTTATTCTCTATAATTCTTTCATTCTAGGTATGACTTCATTCTCTGTAATTCTTTCATTCTAGGTATGACTTTATTCTCTATAATTCTTTCATTCTAGGTAAGACTTCATTCTCTATAATTCTTTCATTCTAGGTATGACTTCATTCTCTGTAATTCTTTCATTCTAGGTATGACTTTATTCTCTATCATTCTTTCATTCTAGGTAAGACTTCATTCTCTGTCAGATAGTGCACTCATCTGGAAGAAAGGTTCTTACCTTATAAAGAATGTCCATGTTGCTTTACTACAACATGTTAGGTATGTAAAATACTACATTAAATCTTATGTAACGTGTTATGGAAATACAACAATCTTATGTTCACATGTTAGGTATTGAAATACTACATGCACTTATCAAGTAAATAAAAGTTATTGGCCCATGCTTGTTTAGATTTGTTTGAAAGTAGAACCCATGTTCCCGAACAATTCTCGATTTTGACTTGTCTCAATACATCAAGTTCCAGATTTGAACTGATGAGATTCACAATAACAAAACAAAAACCTGATGATGTCTATGTAAACATCTGTTGTCAGGTAAAGGAATGCTACATATTGATACCATTTAAAACGTTTACAATATCTTAATTAATAAGGATTTAATATGTTTCTAACAAAAAACATAGTTTCATCCATGAAATTATGTCAATGTATAAACAGAGATTGTGAGATGGTTGTAACAGCTCAAGGACCAAGACCAGAGAATATCCTGTTTCTTATACATGAAGTATTTGAAGGTCTCATTGCAGAATCTTTCCATGGTGTGACGTATGATTTTACAATGCCATGCCCAGAATGCCAGGCAATGGTTAGTGGTAACTTTCAATTAATAATTTTTATATTAATTTACCTTTAAATTATAGAATAATAAGTGTTCAAATTCAAAGTGTTGTTGTGCAAAGTGTTGTTGTCCAGTAAAACCAAACAAAACAACAAAATGATCAACATTTTTATGTCATTTTCTTTAAGTGTTTATGCTTTTCTTACAAGGTATTTCGGATGCAGTGCATCAGCATAAAAGACGAGATGTATATAAACATTAACATTTAATGTTACATGACATTTATTAGAAACACAATTGTAAAATGTATTGCAGGCAGTGAAAGACCCGCACATGTTTGCAGCTTCAACAATACGTAGAGCACTGGACATGCAGGCTCCGTTCCTTCAGTGTATAAAATACTTCCATACTATCTCATGTTCTGCTCTTCAGAGTAAGTAGAAATAGTTTTAAGGTAATTCACCTACTAACTTGTTGACCATGACATTATACCCTATATCATTCATCTGTATATCTGAGATTTTGATGTGTCTATGAAAGGTATATTTTGTGACCAAATGTTTATGGTCAAAAAATAATTTAACATACAATTGCGCAACTTCAATAACTGTAAATATATGGGATTTTTTTTATTTTAGCATTGTTGCCACCAGACAGTCACTGAGAATTTGTGATTTATTTTATTTTAGCATTGTTGCCACCAGACAGTCACAGTGACTTTGATGCACAGTTGGTACAGTGTGTACAAGGACTCAAACATTTACGCAAAGATTTAGCTGCAGGTATGTTTTTTTTCTATCTACTCTTCTTTTTCTTTAATTTCTTTTATTTCTATAATTATTTAAACTTTGTTTAATGAAGTAAATTATTTGGTAATCTGATCTCTCACCTTAGTCTCTCACCTTGATCTCTTAACTTTGTCTCTTACCTTTATTTCTCACCTTGATCTCTTACCTTGATCTCTCACCTTTTTATCTCTTACCTTAGCCTCTTACCTTAGCCTCTTACCCTGATCTCTTACCTTGATCTCTAAACTTTGTCTCTCACCTTGATCTCTCACATTGGTCTCTCACCTTGATATCTCTTATTAGTCTCTGACCTTGATCTTTTTTCTGAATCTCTGACCTTAATCTCTTACCTTGATCTCTTACCTTAGCCCCTTACCTTGATCTCTTGCCTTGATATCTGACCTTGATCTCTTACCTTAGCCTCATACCTTGATCTCTTACTTTGATTTTTTACCTTGATCTCTAACCTTGGTCTATCACTTTGATCACTCACAGTTATCTCTCACATTGATCTCTTACCTTGACCTCTCACCTTGATCTCTCTTACCTTGATCACTCACATTGATCTCTCACCTTGATCACTTACCTTGATCTCTCACTTTGATCTCACACCTTGATCTCTCACCTTGATCTCTCACCTTGATCACTTACCTTGAGCTCTCACCGTGATCTCTTTATTTGATCTCCTACATGTATTAGTTACATCATAATATTTCTCTGAATCCATATTTATACATTTTCCTTTCAGTCTAATAAATGTGTTTTTTTATTATTTCAGATATATTTATTTCATATTGTGGTAAAGATAATCTATTGAATAAATCTTCCTTCATTGTGCCATCCAGAGTTCACAGTGACCTTGTAAATAAAGGATACAAGTGGTAAGTAAATGTTGGATACCATACTGGTTGTTCTACATCAAAACATTGAGCATTTAAGCTCATTTAATACAGCATGTAGTCTATAGTTTAATACATGTATAAATTTGTAAACTTTTTTTTGTTGGCTTCTTTAGAATATCTTAATGTTAACTTGAGTATATTTCATAACCAGAAGTGCTCTATATTTTATAGTAGGTTACAACTAGACTCATAGATAAGGGATCAAAATGTCACATGATCACTGTTACAATATTGTAAGAGATTTATTTAACCTATTTAACTTATTGAATTGTTATTAGATTGTCACTATAATTTTGTATAAGCTTTTTTTAATTGAAGTGTTTAAAGCTATATTATATGTTTATGTTTGAATTTCCAAAAGAATTCTTCCAAAATGCTTGTATGATAAAGGTATGGTAGTATATTGCCTTTTAAGCAAATGACACAGGCATGAAATCATTGCTAACTTGTTAAAACCCTAATAGTGGCATAGTATTTTGTTTCAGAACATTTTATTCTGTTTGTGTACAACATTCATGTGTGTAAAATAATACAGACATTCTTTATTAACTTTTTCACATTCTATATTAACTTTTTTAAGAATCAATCATAAGATTTTGGAAACAAAATATTATTTAACTATTAATAAATTTTATAATAATATTTCATTACAGATATAGCTTTATACCCTTTAAAAGTATCAAATGATTTATAACTATTGCAAATTAAAGATTGCAAATGCTTTAAATTCAGCCAAAAATGGGAATAACCCCTGTTCTCACTGCAGGTTTCTGTACAAGGTCTGCTATGTTGTAGAATTTTTTTTATTTATATCATTAAAGTTTAAACTTAAAACATTTATTACAGTTGGTGTAAGACTGAGGCTAACAGTCAGTCCACGGATGATATGGCCAAATCTCTGATAGATTCATCTGTATTCATTGCTTTTATCTCCATGAATTATGCTGACGATATAGACTGTGTCAACATTTTCAAATATGCTAGACTGATATTAAAGAAAACAATTGTTGTTGTTGCTATTGGTGATGGATTTGAATGGAAGCAAAGTAAACTTGGAATACTTTTATCAGATGAGGTGAAGGTTTATTATAATAATGTTAAGTTATTAATAATGTGATATGTTTTTAAATCTTTATTAAAACATATAGTGCACTAAAACTATGTTTACTTTACAACTTATGAATAATGTTTAAATCAAAATCTGAAAAGTACAGGGCAGTAATATCTGTAAAAATGTCTGATAAATTGATAAGTACTTTGCAATACATGGATTACAGAATAAAATATCATGTAAACCCTTTCACGGCCATAGGGACGGCATATGCCGTCCCTATTATTTTCGGCGTATTTGCCATATGGACGGCTTTTGCTGTTTCTTTAATAATAATAATAATTATAATAATAATAATAATTATAATAATAATAATAATAAATATATAGATAATTATACCATCGACAATAATTATTATTATACTAGCAGATTTGGAAACATATATAATTATCATAATACTAATAACAAATAATAATAATTATATTAATTAATAATATACTAATTTCTTAGAAAACCTTCTGGCAAATAGGTGATCAATAAATAAATAACCCTCTGGCAGCGAAAGGGTTAAGATTATTTGATATTGAATATTTATATATTTCTCTACATGTAGGTTTTTGTAAACATGACAAAGGGGAAGTTTCAGTATTATGACAGTAAGTTTGATGAATTAATCAAGACATTGAAAGATAAGTCTAATGTTAGTACAGAATCTGATGCTGACCCAAAACCTCAGGTTTTCTTCAGTTACACCTGGGTCAACTCGGCACAGGCTGTGACACTGGGAACAAGGTACACTATCTATTTTTTATGGTATATAAGTACAACTAGCAATAATTTACTCAATTTTGTAATTTTTTAACATCATGTTCATGTATGTGTTTAGATTATTTTATTTTCTGTGTTTATGTCAAGATGATATGTTACTTAAAGAAAATGTGATCAATGTAATCTAATTTATTTAAGTTTATGATGTTAGAATTCTTATCTTATTAAGATATCTAGTTCTGCTTATCATTATAAGGGGCAGTTGTTAGACAAGGGGCATAATTATGAAAGCTATATTTTTGGAGTTATACCCCTTTTTAACTTAGTTGTTGCCCTCAACAGATAAGCTAACATGGATGGGTTGCTCTTTCTCTACAGTAAATTTGCTAAGTGAAAAATATTTATCCCAGCTATACAAGGTCTGGGCATATCAATGGATGCTGTGTTCAAACCGGTGCTAGTTAGGGTGAGGGATGATGCACTTTTTCATTATCCCTCATATACAGACTCAATCAAACAGAGTCTGCAATTTTCATGTAATTTAGATTTGTTGTGATTAGTAGTTCCCTAGTTAAGTAAAGTATATTTATCCCAGCTTTATACAAGGTTTGGGAATTTCAATGGATGTTGAGTTTTAAGTAAAATCTGATAAAATGGTCAAGATCAAGTTTACATTGATTTATATTCTGTGTATGAGAATAAATACAAATATTTTCAGGGAGGTTCCTGGTGCGTTAGGTTACGGAGATCCAAGGGAACTAAAATCATTCATAGAAGAGCATGGTGTAAGATGTTGGATAGATGTAGAACGTGTTGGAATGGTACGTCTTTAGCTGTGTTTTATGCTTTGTGATGCAATGTCTACAAAAATTATCAAAGGGTTTAAGACATGCATATACGTATTTAGAATGATATATAATGGTAACAAGATGATTTAAGCATTGATCATATATTTGTATTTTATGTTGTCTGAATATTATATTTATATTTTATAGAATGGACTGTTTGATGATATAGCTGAAGGGTTATTGAGTGCTAAAGTTGTGGTAGTTTGTGTATCAGATGAATACGCAAGCTCATCCACATGCCAGATAGAATTCCGTTATGCTGCCAACACTCTTAGATTACCAATTATAATGGCTGTTGTGGGAACAGGTGATAATTGGAGAGCTACAGAGGTATATTTTACTTGTGTATTGTTTCTTGTTATCATTTAGAGGACAGACATTATTGACATACAGTGTATGACTTATTCTACAATCATACTGTACATGTTGTGTTATGTTTTAACACTGAATATTTAGTTTAATTTATTATTATTTTGTATAGGTGTCGCATATCAAACTTTAACTTGTATATTATTTTGTCCCCTCTACAGAGTAGTGGTGACATATAGGAATGGCTTCCTTGTCCGGACTACTCCTCTTATACCACCAAGGCAATTTCAAGGAAACTTTAGAGGATTGATCTGTAGCTCAAGTCCTTGCATGGGTTTTCTGGTTGAATGAAAAATGTGTTTTTTGTGTGTTGCCATATACACAAAAGCTTGTCCTGACTACTCCTCAAAAACAACTGATGCAATTTCATCCAAACTTAACTTGTATATTATATTTATGTATAGGTGGGACTGACGTCAGTTTATTACCCTATAGTAAATTTTCAAGAAAAGACCAAAAATGCAAAGCAGAAGTTACTTAAACTGGTTACAGAAAAATTATCTGATAAAGATGACGCCACAACTACAAAAGCTCAGAAAAATATATCAAATGAAGAGCATAAAAATCTCTCATATCAGGTGTGTATATATTCACAGAAAAATATATCAAATGAAGAGCATAAAAATCTCTCATATCAGGTGTGTATATATTCACAGAAAAATATATCAAATGAAGAGCATAAAAATCTCTCATATCAGGTGTGTATATATTCACAGAAAAATATATCAAATGAAGAGCATAAAAATCTCTCATATCAGGTGTGTATATATTCACAGAAAAATATATCAAATGAAGAGCATAAAAATCTCTCATATCAGGTGTGTATATATTCACAGAAAAATATATCAAATGAAGAGCATAAAAATCTCTCATATCAGGTGTGTATATATTCACAGAAAAATATATCAAATGAAGAGCATAAAAATCTCTCATATCAGGTGTGTATATATTCACAGAAAAATATATCAAATGAAGAGCATAAAAATCTCTCATATCGGGTGTGTATATATTCACAGAAAAATATATCAAATGAAGAGCATAAAAATCTCTCTTATCAGGTGTGTATATATTCACAGAAATTTACACAAAATTTTGCAATTGTTTAATACTAGTTGATAGGCTGTTGAACTTAACTCACAAAATCACTTCTGTGAAATATTTAATTGAAAGTTAATGCAAATTGTGTTTCAATGTAGGTAAGAAATTTTTTTACAACATTTTGTTTTTTAATTATGATACTTTTCTATGTTGAGATAACAATAAATTATGTTATTGTACTGGTTAAAATACATAAATTTAATATTTGGCAATCACAGGTTGATGAAAATATATATAAATTAAATATTTGCCAGTCGTAGATACCTGTGCCATACATTTATTGTTGATATTTATTATACAATACAATAGCATGTTGTAAAAACATTCTAAACAAAAAAACAAACTTTACATGATGACTTAATTTGTACAGGAGCTGTTTGAGTTAGGTCAGAGAAGGTTATTACGTCAGCTAACTATGTATGCTGAGAACCAGGACTTGGATGTTTATCCTAGAGTATTTGTTGTAGACTTTGTCAAAGATGAAGATTTTGATGGGCAAAATGTTGATGAAGGTATTAGTTTTCATTAATCTTTATACTGTATTCATGACATTTCACAGATATGACCATATAAATTGACTAGACATAACCATATAAATTGACTAGACATAACCATATAAATTGACTAGACATGACCATATAACTTGACTAGACATGACCATATAACTTGACTAGACATAACCATATAAATTGACTAGATATAACCTTATAACTTGACTAGATATAACCATATAAATTGACTAGACATAACCTTATAACTTGACTAGATATAACTTGACTAGGCATAACCATATAACTTGACTAGATATAACCATATAACTTGACTAGATATAACTTGACTAGATATAACCATATAACTTGACTAGATATGACCATATAATTTGACTAGATATAACCATATAACTTTTCTAGACATAACCATATAATTTGACTAGACATAACCATACAACTTTACTAGATATAACTTGACTAGATATAACCATATAACTTGACTAGATATGACCATATAAATTGACTAGACATAACCATATAAATCGACTAGACATAACCATATAAATTGACTAGACATAACCATATAAATTGACTAGACATAACCTTATAACTTGACTAGACATAACCTTATAACTTGACTAGATATGGTTGTTTAATTAATCATGTTAAGACAATTTTTTAACTGTGTTATGACTATTTTGTAAGGTCACTCTGACATTCTCCATCAAATCACCCTTGTGCACATACCCAATATTTTACAAATGATATGATACTCTTGTATTTTGACACTTTTTTATAATGTATATAAGATAAAGAAGGAGAAGAGGAGAAAAAAGATATAGACCAAGAGAAAATGATGTTGACTAGAGAAAGAACACTTCACAAGGAACTTTTGTCTAAAAAAACTTCAGTGCTGTTACCTGCCTACAGACTGCAGAAATATTGTGTACATACACTTTGTGAACATGATGAGGTAAATATAATATGATAGCACAATATAACATACACTTTTTGAACATGATGAGGTAAATATAATATAATACAACATACACTTTGTGAACATGATGAGGTAAATATAATATAATACAACATACACTTTGTGAACATGATGAGGTAAATATAATATAATATCAGAGCTGTTACCTGCCTACAGACTGCAGAAATATTGTGTACATACACTTTGTGAACATGATGAGGTAAATATAATATAATAGCACAATATAACATACACTTTGTGAACATGATGAGGTAAATATAATATGATATCAGTGTTTTTACCTGCCTACAGACTGCAGAAATATTGTGTACATACACTTTGTGAACATGATGAGGTAAATATAATATGATAGCACAATATAACATACACTCTGTGAACATGATGAGGTAAATATAATATGATAGCACAATATAACATACACTTTGTGAACATGATGAGGTAAATATAATATGATAGCACAATATAACATACACTCTGTGAACATGATGAGGTAAATATAATATAATATCAGTGTTTTTACCTGCCTACAGACTGCAGAAATATTGTGTACATACACTTTGTGAACATGATGAGGTAAATATAATATAATACAACATACACTTTGTGAACATGATGAGGTAAATATAATATAATACAACATACACTTTGTGAACATGATGAGGTAAATATAATATATAATACAACATACACTTTGTGAACATGATGAGGTAAATAAATATAATATAATACAACATACACTTTGTGAACATGATGAGGTAAATATAATATAATACAACATACACTTTGTGAACATGATGAGGTAAATATAATATAATACAACATACACTTTGTGAACATGATGAGGTAAATATAATATAATACAACATACACTTTGTGAACATGATGAGGTAAATATAATATAATACAACATACACTTTGTGAACATGATGAGGTAAATATAATATGATATCAGAGCTGTTACCTGCCTACAGACTGCAGAAATATTGTGTACATACACTTTGTGAACATGATGAGGTAAATATAATATAATATAATAGCACAATATAAGTCACTGTTTGGTAATTTTATAGAAGATTAATGTTCTATTAAGTCATTAACAAAATGTTGGTCACCACTTGATAAGTTCATGTAATGATTATAAACCATTGTTCAGTGCTAGATAAGTTGATGAGAGAATTACAACCTATTGGTCACTGCATTGTAAGTTCATGTAAAATATACTTTGTTTACCCATTGACGGGTCCATAGATAATTTATAAATTATTTGTTCCTTTTTTAAAGAAATTACTCCTTTCAACTAAATTAGTTCAATTTAGATTTATAAACTATTGGTCATGTTTAAAAGCTTTTGCTATCAACTTGATGAGTTCATTGAAGATTTACAAACTACTCGTTCCTTTGAGAGAAAAAACATTGCTTCTAACTTGGATGGTTTAATAGCTGTATTTGTTTCTTGTATTTACATTAGTCATACTTTACTTCTTTAAAAAAATTATTTTATTTTAAAATGTGTAACAACTTATTATATTTATGTAGGGTTGTTAAAATGTGTAACAACTTAATATATTTAGTAGGGTTGTTAAAATGTGTAGCTAACTTATTATATTTATATAGGGTTGGCATAGTGTATCTGAGCCACTAGAATTAGAAGCTGATTTTGGTGTTACAAGTTTAGATTTGTATAGTCCATACATCTCTAGATTAACAACAGTTACCAAATACAACAAAAAACTCGTCCTCAATTGTTTAACTGATGAAGTTGGAGAGGCGTACATAGACTGGCTAGAAAAGGTTCTTATTTCTCTCTTACATTATTCTCATCTAACATTCATTTGATAAATCTCTGTAAAATATGCATTCTAAAGATATATTAAGCTCAAACTTGATATATGAAAACACTGATAATTGCTATACAGACTCTATTTAAATGTAAAGTTAACATTGTTTGAGTACACACAGAGAAGATATATAACTTTTTAAAAACTGGCAATTTTTTTGGAAAGTTTTAAGCTCACCGGTACATTCATAAGGAATGCAGTACCTTAAGCATAGTTTGTACATTTTACTATTCATATTAGACATATATTCAGTAAGAATTTCTTAGATTTCAATAATTTCCTACAAGACAGACTGGTTGGTTTAAATGTGTGATGTATATTTTTCTATGAAATATTTTAAATTGTTATTTAATGTAATCATCAAGATGCTGCACTTATTGTTTAATAAATTCTTCATGATAAATTGCAATTTTTTCTGGCATGTTTCCTGTTTGAAATGCCATAGCAGATCTATGTAAAAAATCTATCTTTTTTATATGTAGGCTTGTGGAGCTCAGTGGAGTTCCTTTAATACTTTGATCTGTAAGATTGAAGTTATAAGAAATTGAAGTTTGAAAATTGTTTAAACAATATATATACATGTATATAATAATTTAATTGTTTATAATGTATGTTAGAGTCCAGAAGCTACGATGTCAGATTACCAGAATGTGTATCATAGTTTTAGAGAGATGGTACATAGACTTGATACAGATAGTAAGATGGGCAATCTTAGCAGGTAATCTATTATTGTATTAAACAAATTTAATACAACCAAAAAATAATCATTTCTATTTTGTCCATTCAGTTTAATAATGATTAATAATTTTTTATACAAGGGCACCTTTTAAATTTAGTTTTTGATGTTACACTAATAGATATTGTTTTATTTTAAAATAAACATTGCAGATATCATATTTTATGTCATTGTCTTTCTGCAAAATTTCTTAATAAAACATGAAATCAAAGGAAATTATTTATTCAAGGAAGTATTGTAACAGTTATCTTTATAAACATTTATACTGGTTCAAAAACCCTAAAAAATTTCCGCTAAAAATATGTGTGAAACTGCTTCTGTTATGATTCAGTTATGGCTAATTTACATCCCCTGTGGGAGCCCCATCCCAGATACATATACACAATGTAGGATTCCAGTTTTTATTGACAAAAACATTATATTTTAATTTGACGTGTTCTTATTCAGATATTCAAGATAACCTCATTTTTAACAGTAACTACTTTGAGTATGCTTTGGAAAAGGAAGCATTACAAAATAAGTTGGTGGCACGGACACATTACTCTTTGGTTAATTATCTTTCTTTTGGTACTTAAATACAACTAAGGTTTTACAATTAAGATCTTAGATCAGTCTAGAGCATAGTGCATGTCAAGCTGTGTTGGGGATCATCATTTGATATTCTTATTCATAAGCAAATAGATTTATAATCATACATGTTTATACAATTATATTTTCTTTGGTTATAGATGCCATTTATCAAATGGGAAAACAATCTGGCTGTGTGATAAACATCGTGATTCTATGAAAGTTACTTGTTTAAGTAATGATGATAAAAGTGTCAATCTAACTAAAGATGCAGATAATAAAGTAACAAATTGGATGCTGACAGGTTTGCGCACAATGGAACAACAACTTTTTGATTTCAAGTCAGTTGGAAATGCTCCCCGTCCAAAATCAGGTAATCATTGTGCACCGGGCTAGATCATATCACTTGATTTGTACATCATCTGCACTACATAACCTTAACAGAATATTCATGTACATGTAAATACATTTTGATTCTATGTTATTATTTTAAAATATATAATAATGAAAGTTAGACACGGTCACAACATCTATGTTTACTTAACTAATGGAACAAAATAAGTTTTCAGTAATAATTAGATATATTTTTTTTTATTTACAGAAATGAAGAAAGGTGCAGGTAAGACAAATAAAGGGGCAGATAATAGTAAGTTTATATAATGGATGTTTTCTATTTCACTCCACCTTCATTATTTTGATCTACAAAAAGCTATGTTACATTTGTACTTATCTCTATTACTTTAGTTGAATTTATCATTTGACAACTTAGACAATTCATGTATCATATAGGTCAAATTTAACTATCAAAAATGTGTACAGTATGTCTGTTTGTTCAATGCTGTTTAATTTTGTTACAACAGTTAGTAAGATTGTTTTTGACTTGTCAAAATGTACATGTAAACAAAAGTAGACAATGTGTAAGGAAATAGTACCGTAATATTTTTGTTTATTCTAGGTGATAAACGTTCCAGTAAGAAATATAAGAAAGGAAATAAACCAGACATGAAAACTGTTGATAAACCTGTGGATGATGAAAATCAAGAGAAAACAAACAAACCCTCTGTTAACATACCCTCAGTTGACACCAGTGGAAATGAGAAACAAAAAGAAAAGAAAATAAAAGAGGTTCCAGGGGCATCAGGACAAATGTCAGAAAGTAATAAAGCATCGAGGCAACTGTCCGATGATAATACCTCTGTTACATCAGAAGCATCACAGTTATCAGTACAGAGCTCAACAACAGGACATCATAAATCAAGGAGACAAAACCTACCTGGACAATCTAAATATAAACCTCCTTCTTATAAACAAACTAGCAGAGCATGTGAAATATCATAAACAGTTTGAGAGATGTTTGTCTAGCCTGATATTGCTAGTTCAAATGGACGGAAGTATGAGGTTAACCTGATATTGCTAGTTCAGATGGACAGAAGTATAAGGTTAACCTGATATTGTTAGTTCAAATGGTCAGAAGTATGAGGTTAACCTGATATTGCTAGTTCAAATGGTTGGAAGAATGAGGTTTTCAATTGTTTTTGCACATGCTAATTAGTGAATCATTCTATATGTAATTTATGTTCCCTTACATTTGTTATAATTGATATTTCTTGAAAAAATTGAAATCTAATATATGCATTAGAAAATAGTGGTGCAATGTTGCAGCAAATGTTACATTTCATAGACCAGGTGCAGATCCAGTATTTATAGCAGAGGATGTCAACAAAATTTTAACAAGGGGTAATACAAATTAATGAGGTATTTGATAGTTTTCTAGAAAGGATACAATATGATTTTTCTACAAAATAATATCCAAATGGGAGGGTGTTGGGGATTGTCATTATCCTTAAAACTCATCTTGAACTGTGCATGTTGAATGTAGCTACTGTTGAATTTCAAAATGTTGAAAACCCTACAAGATTTTGATAGCAATTTTATTTTGATATGTTTAGTTTATTTAAGCTAGATTGTAAGTTTTTGTATCTTATATCAATCATTTTCATTTCTAGTTTGCTTTCTTGAATTATAATATAATGTGTATTATATTTGTGAAAAGTTACTGTTTATAGCACGCCCATGACTAAATCAGACAGTCAAACATATTGATGATTTTACATTTACGAGATAGCAATGCTTGAAATAGTTGATATTCTCAATCATATATTTTGATCACATATTTTAGAACATGTTACAGTTTAAGTGTCCCACATCATAGTACGTATCATATAGTTAATGTCATGAAATTTTTTTATCAATCCAACACCTTGTTCACACTGTGCTACCAGGCAAACAGGATTTTTATTTTGATCAAAGGTAATTGATTAAATTCATAAACAATATTTCCAAATTTATTCTTGTAAATTAGACAAGTACATCTGTTACCAATGTTAGATAGGACAATCAAATGCACACTATAATTTATGTATAATTGTCAAGTTGATAAGATCATGCAATATTTAATACAATGTCTTTACTTGTTTTATATAACACATGTATTTCAATATTGTAACAGTGATATGTTATATGAACTGTAATTTGTGATATACAATGTTTATTATGAAATATGTTACATTAATTTATAATTTTTTACCTTAACATTGTAATTTTTTATATATATTTTATAATTTGTTATATATATGTTATATTTCTTTTACATATCTATTGTAAATTTTAGTAACTTTCACTAAATCTGTAATGACTCATCCATTTGATATATCTTAATCTGTAATAATTCACTCAGTTATTATAACTGAACTGTAATAAGTCAGCAAGTTATTACAGGTACATCTATAATGACACATCCAGTAAATATAGTCACATCTGTAATAATTCATCTGTAACAATTCAGCCAGTTTATATAGCTGCATTTGTAATAACTAATATAGCTGCATCATTAATGATTCAGCAAGTTGATATATATCTAAATCTGTAATAATCCATCCATCTGCATCTATAATAATTCAGCTGTATCTGTGATAATGCAGCCAGTTTATAGCTGTATCTGTAATTATTCAGCCAGTTTATAGCTGTATCCATAATAATTCAGTCAGTTAATCTGGTAATTCAGCCATTTAATAAAGCTGTATCTGTGATAATGCACCCAGTTTATAGCTGTATCTGTAATTATTCAGCCAGTTTATAGCTGTATCCATAATAATTCAGTCAGTTAATCTGGTAATTCAGCCATTTAATAAAGCTGTATCTGTGATAATGCAGCCAGTTTATAGCTGTATCTGTAATTATTCAGCCAGTCTATAGCTGTATCTGTGATAATTCAGCCAGTTTATAGCTGTATCTGTAATTATTCAGCCAGTCTATAGCTGTATCTGTAATTATTCAGCCAGTTTATAGCTGTGTCTGTAATTATGCAGCCAGTCTATAGCTGTATCTGTCATAATTCAGCCAGTTACTCTTATAATTCAGCCAGTTTATACAGCTGTATCTGTGATTATTAAACCAATTATATGGAATATTTTCTCTCATGAAACTAGTCTAATTTTGAGTTGCTGATTTTTTTCATTATTGTTTTTACGTGTTTGCATTTACTAGTAAGATTTTGTAGTTTTTTTTTTTGATCATTCATGAAATTTCGTGTCTTTATATTAGGGTTAGGTTTTTATTGTTGGATTGATATTTATGAAGACTTTTTACTTATCTTAGAAACTGTTTCACCAAAAACACCAATTTTATATGACTTTGAAGCATTTACTTTTGTTGTTACAATTTGAAATATTTATTTGTAAAATGTGTCTTTAATTTATTTTGTATGAAATTAAAAAAAATGATTAAAAGTAAATTAATATTATTCCTACATTTAGAAACAAAACTTGATGAAATATGTTTATAGTGTAAAGTATATCATTTATATACTTATGTCATTTGTGAACTTTTGATCTATTTACTTATTTTACTTATTTTAGATTAGCATAAACAAACAGTTCGTAATTTAGTATAATATAAACATTCAGTTTATAACAGATAATAATATGATACTGACCGTACCACTTATTTTATATTGTGACTATATGTGTGATAGAGAAAGTTACATGGTTTTGACATCTCCATGACTAAGATACTCACGTAGATCGTATTGTACCTATGTTTATATGATGGCTATATTCTTGACAAGTTTTTATTTATAATAAAAACACTATTAACAAAGCTTGAATTGTTGTTTTTATATTTGTTTTAAGCAACTTGATTTAAATACAGTGCAAATTAGCAGAGAGAAAACATATAACTATATTTAGGTTTAACACTTTACGAACAGTATGTTAAACATATTATATAACCATGATTGTGTTATAACGTTAAATGCCAAGGACAACGGCGAAACAGATGTTGTGTAACATTACAAATATATAATTAACTGACAGTCAGAGGTGAATATATTATTAGTTATAAAGATCGTTGACAGGTTATATGGCCCTATATAAACGGCTTTTTGTAAATATAACCCGAGCCGTTAGGCGAGGGTTATATTGCAAACAGCCGTTTATATACGGCCATATAACCTGTCAACAATCTTTATAACGAATTTATAATACAGCAAGCATCATTTTTAGAGAAAAAATTAAAATTTCTTCATGAATCGACGGCAGCCGTTTATATAAAACTATATAAACGTCACGATTATCCAATGAAAAATGACGTTACAAACGTGCAGTATTATAAAAAATATATGACGTCCAGGTGAATATATCGAGTAAATGACGTCCAGGAAATCGGAATCTTGATCTGTTATCAGACAACAGAGTTAACTGATACATTAAAAAAACATCAGCAATGACATTTTGCTTGAAATATATGCATGAGTGAATTTCCATGTTTAAACTGACATTAAAAATAAGGAAGCGCAATGAAAAGACTAAAATGGTCTAGGAGGGACAGGTCAGGGAACAAGTGTATATTAAAGGGAGGAAACAAGTATAACTATTACCATTACAATAGTAATCTCCCTTCTTAAAACGACTTATGAATATAAAGGTACTTACCTTCTAAACATGGGCGTTCCAGGGTTTCCGGTTTCTGCGTGAACAGCGCAGTTGCGAGTTTGAAATAGGTACGAGAGTGGTTTTCCCTTCTATTGGCGGGGGTACAGGAAGGCTACACGCAGAAAATTTTGAAAATGAAAGTGTATAAAATGAGGCGTTCAGGCGCATTTGGTGCGTTTTGTTGCATTCAGATACTCAAAGTAAATTTATAATAAACTGAAAATATCTGCAATTATTTAAGCATGAGAATTATATCAGAGGAAGTATTGTCCCTATCTCATTACAAGATGCATCTGGTCCAGAACTGGGTAGAAGGTTAAATTAAAACACAGAATATGCTGGCTTATATAATTATACGTAGTAAATGCAAATATCTATCTATAGAAGTCTATAGGTAATAATATGATAAAAATTATACAAAAAATATACAAATGTCCAATTTGAATTAAAATAACAGTTCAAATTTTCGTTTTTGAGGAACAAAGAGGCGGGATAGGCAAGGGAAAGGGTAATATTTGAAAGGCCATATAAAAATTTGTTATTATCACGAAACAGAAAAAAGAACTAATGCTTCAAATTTCTCTGCAGTATTTCAGACAAGTTCACGCATTAGAACCAATTAAATTCTTTTGGTACTACTGGATACGCACTGATAATGTTGGCTACATTAAATGAAAAAATGGTAGTGAAATCAACAAAATAAAACAACTTTAACTTGTAGCAATATACCACGTGATTCTGTGTACGTTTTAGCCATGACCGTTCGGGAGACAAGTACGGTAAAGGGAGAATACTAGTATATCTCTAATAAATGCGAACTGACACTGTTGTCTCCCTTGTAATAAACGCTTGCGCCTTTCGAAGTGGGATATAGAGATGGCACCATCATTCCGTCTTTCAATCTTTATGTTTGTCTGTCAAAGAGATCTGTCTGTCTGTCCGTCTGTCATAGAGTTCTGTTTGTCAGTTCGGTACATTTATTGTCCGGTTCAACTCAGCCATTCATGAAGGGATTGAGAAATAACAAATGTTAATAATAATAAGAAAAGTTGTCATGCTGAAACTCAGAACCTTACTTCCAAAGTCAAGTTAACACTTAGAGGTAAAAGCTAATCATTGTCTATTATAAGGTCTGTTTTGTGTTGACCTGTTCCATAACTTTTCCCTTTTATTAATGGTTTTTGAAATAAGTTTGCACAAATATATACCATATATATTAATATGTATATAGGAAAACAAGATGTCTTGCACAGTAAAATCTACAAATTTCTATGAGTGTGAAAGGCTCTACTATACTTCATTTAAATACAAAGTGAAGAACTTATTGTTACTTTGATCAAGTATTTGAAATGTTGAACAATGGTAAGACGTTTTTGGGAGTTTTCATATTTATGTAACAGAAACTTACTATCGTATATCTAAAATCTGCATTTATGTAACAGAAACTAACTATCGTATATTTAAAATCTGCATTTATGTTACGGAAACTAACTAGCGTATATCTAAAATCTAAATTTATGTAACAGAAACTAACGATCGTATATCTCAAATCTACATTTATGTAGCAGAAACTAACTATCGTATATCTAAAATCCGCATTTATGTAACGGAAACTAACTATCGTATATCTAAAATCCGCATTTATGTAACAGAAACTAACTATCGTATATCTTAAATCTGCATTTATGTAACAGAAACTTATTATCGTTTATCTAAAATCTGCATTTATGTAACGGAAACTAACTATCGTATATCATAAATCTGCATTTATGTAACAGATACTAACTATCGTATATCTAAAATCTACATTTATGTAACGGAAACTAACTATCGAATATCTCAAATCTACATTTATGTAACAGAAACTAACTATCGTATATCTATTTTCTACATTTATGTAACAGAAACTAACTATCGTATATCTAAAATCCACATTTATGTAACAGAAACAAACTATCGTATATCTTAAATCTGCATTTATGTAACAGAAACTAACTATTGCATATCTAAAATCTGCATTTATGTAACAGAAACTAACTATTGCATATCTAAAATCTGCATTTATGTAACAGAAACTAACTATCGTATATCTAAAATCTGCATTTATATAACGGAAACTAACTATCGTATATCTAAAAGCTTTATTTATGTAACAGAAACTAACTATCGTATATCTAAAATCCACATTTATGTAACAGAAACTAACTATCGTATATCTTAATTCTACATTTATGTAACAGAAACTCACGATCGTATATCTAAAACCTACATTTATGTAACAGAAACTAACGATCGTTTATCTAAAATCTACATTTATGTAACAGAAACTAACTGTCGTATATCTTAATCAACGGTATCCAAGGTGAAGCCAAGTTAAAGTCGATTCAGGCTTCTTTGAAGTAGTATCCCATTTATAGGCGCAAAAGCTTATCATTATGTACATCGAAGTTTAATCGAGTATTGAATTTGCAAATGCATTTTCTAGATGAGTTTTATAGTAGACATCAGTAAGTCTGTTTTATTAAATATTTCAATAAAGGTTTATTTCCCCTCTTCCATGAAACAACCATACATTATTAACCCTAGTTCCAAAAAAATATCCTAAATATTTTTAGGTAATCTTTTAATCAATAATATATATTATATGACATCTACTAAACAAAAGTTTCTTTAAAACAGCTTTTCTTAACTAACTTATTATTTTTTTGTAGAACAAGTCCAACTTTGATAAAAGATTATTCATACCACACTGGTTTTATTAAAAGGATAACACTTCAAGTGCTGCAACTCTTCATTATTCAGAGAAGACGTCTTCCTTTAAATGAGATACTAGCTGGCTAGAACTTCCATTTATATACATTGTATACCATTTATATTTATAGACGATGAACATAAAATGCATGTTGTGTATTATAATCATGTTAACCGCATACTATTTTATACCTCAGCTGCTGTATTACAATTATTCATTTACTTCGATTTTTGACCATGGAAACGTTATGGTAAGAGAAACTATGGCAACTCTACAAAACTACTACAGGAAGAACAACAGTCAGCCAAGTAAGACATCTGCAACAGCAGTCCGTCACGGGAACAAAATAAACGTGGTTGGAAATAAAACAAACAATATTGGTTGGAAACAGTTTTGCGAACAAGATCAAAAATATAACATTTCTTTTGCTAAATATGCAGATAAGATAAATGCCAAGACAATTGTGAAGGAATACAGCCTGAACATAAAAATACCAGAAACAAACGATAACATAGCAATTGTTACTAAGGCAATTGTTACGAAGGCAATTGTTACGAAGGCTGAGGACATAAATTTAGAAATGATGAATGCACTTCCTGGAGAAAACGTTTTTAAAGCCAACCATGGGGCATCAATGACTGTAATTCTGTAAGAGTAATTCGTACAAATGTTACGGTTTCTGTCAACAATCAAAATACTTATGAAAGTCAAAAACAGTACAACTGAAGTTTTTGTAAACGAATTGTCATAAATGGCTCTATATTGATTATGGTAAACTCCATGATGACCGCTTTTATTCTAGAATAAACGGGAAATGTCTTTTCGAAGAAATGATTCAAGAATATAATGACTACAAGATATATGTTTTTCATGGGAAACCAAGATTATTTGATGTACATACGGACCGATTTATAGGACGTACACCCCATCCTGGCGTAGAGTAAATATGACAATATCGGTGTTACCACAAACAAATGTTGAAAAACCAAGTCGTTTACATGAGATATTACAAATCGCAAATCAAATTTCGCGTGACATAGTTGTTTGCAACAGTTTGGTCTGCCCGAACATATCCAAAACCATTTCTATATAAATTTAACTTAACCTCTGAAGCCAACTTTTGATATCCTATAATATCATAATGTAACAACATTTTATGGCGTTTAAACATATGAGCCAAGTCACGACAAAACAAACATAGTGCGTTTGCGACCAGCATGGATCCAGACCAGCCTGCGCATCCGCACAGGTTGATCAGGATCCATGCTGTCCGCTATCAGTTTCATTACTTGTAATAGGATATGTAAGCGAACAGCATGGGTCCTGATCAGACTGCGCGGATGCGCAGGCTTGTCTGGATCCATGCTGGTCGCAAACCCATAGTGTTGATTTTGTCGTGACACGGCTCATATCCGTAA